GGTCTCAGGGACCCCAAACAGAACAAAAGGTTAAGTGTCTGTAATAAGTCTGTAGTTACACATTAATAATGCATGCAATAATGATAGAACTGCTGGTGACGTAGTCACTGTTACAGGTGGATTGGGATTCTTAGTGACTCTAAATACAAAGAGAGACACACTTTAAAGTCAAACAACCCTGTTGGTTATTGTTTTTTAAATAGTGTAAATTGAACCATCATCACTGAGCTGGTTTAATGTCATTATCTATATATACCTGTTTGTTCTCTCGTTCTTCACCCACTGCAGTGGACAGTCAGCATGTTCACTCTTCACTGACACCGGAAACAGAGCTGTTGCATGGGTACAGAGTCAAATATCACTCTATCATCTCACCATCACACGAGGGCTGAAGTGAAAAACGGCTGCTAGTACATTTGTGGGTGGAACTTCTGTAGGTCCATTTTGGCTCCGCTCCTCATGCAGGCTTTCTGTTTATGTTAGCATTTCTTAGAAAGACCGAATGACTGAAGCCATATTCTTAATATAATGTGGTGTCCACCACAGGCCGCTGTGCTGTGAGGAGATTAGGGGGTGTGGCCATGCAAAGTGCACCATGCTCCCAGGTTAAAAAGGAACATTTGTTGTTGCTGTCAGTGTTGCTGTAAGTGTGGTTGGTTAATTTATAGTGAATTGTGTCTGTGGAGGTTGGGCAAACTCACCCACACAGATAACCGTCCATGCACACAATTCACTATATATAAACCAACTACACCATGTGTGTTGTGTCCTTCTTCGTTACCCCCTCCTTGGTTTCGTGTTGGGGTACCGCTGGGCATTTCCTTGCCTCTGTTGAAAGGCCTGTTATGAAATGAAAGAGTATTTGCCCATATGTGCAATGTTGTACATGTCTTCTTCTGCACCAACACTACAATAATTATATGACATCATCATGATTCAGCATATAATTATGAAAACATTCACTTGTACATTGCTGCTTAAGCCCGTAGATACAGTGAGGTGTAACATTGTAGAACTGGCTGATACAGCACCCCTGGTCAAATGACAGGTGTTGTTGATTTTCTAAGTGAAAACAAGTTACAAGTTACTCTACAGTGAACATGCTTTTGCATACTTTAATGCAGAATTACTGTTTATTTGCTGCATGTAACATACATTACTATTACAATGAGCTTCTACTTCATACTTAACAAATCATGTATTAACCAGAAATTCAATCACTATTCATTCATAAAATAACAATCTACATATGTATAAGTGTATAAATGCATGAAATCTAGTAGCAGGTGCCTTCCACCTCACAGGAGCACCCCACAACAATCCGTCATTCACTTGAAAGGCCCCAAGGCTAGCTAGTCCTCCCCCAATGTATTGTGAAGGGTATTCTTAAGTTTTATTCAATATTTATTCATTCCATATTTTTAGAATTTTCAATTGTCCTTTATTTCAATTGTCATATATATATATATATATATATATATATATATATATATATATATATATATATAATGTGTGTGTATATATATATATATATATATATGTATATGTGTGTGTATATATATATATATATATATATGTGTGTATATATATATATATATATATATATATATACACATACATACATATATATGTGTGTATATATAATTTGTCCTATATATATACCAAATTTTACAGTTGGCACAACGCAGTCAGACAGGTAACGCCAAACCCAGACTGGTCCATCAGACTGACAGATAAGTGATTCATCACTCCACCGAATTTCGTTCCACTGTTCCAGAGTTCAGTGGCAGTGTGCTTTACTTCGACTGACAAGCAAGACTACCAATGACAGCCCACTGTTTTAGTGTGGCATGTAGGAGAGGCGATTGTGAAAATCTCACATATTTATCTTGAAAGTCATCACAATGTTCAGTTCAGGCAGCTGTTTGCTACTGCTGAATAGAATTTTGCACATATCACACAGTTGTTTTGTCTGCAGTTACATAACAGCAAAATGAGGCATTTTTGTTTTTTTTTTTCATTCATTTTTGTGGATAAGGGAACAATAAAAAGTTGGGCTTTGTTCAACTTTATACAAATGAAAAGCGAGTTTTGTTGGGTGACAGTCACTTGGATTGTAAAAATTGTGCTGCAGTGCATTATGTCAACATTTTAAAACTTCAGAATAGATGGAAGAGAAATTCGTGGGTAATTTTTACATTAGCTCACATTTAAAAAAAAATATGTACATATGATGCCTTTTCTCACCTGTTTTATCAGACCATAGATCTAGACTACACCTCTTCCTGCAGCTAAACTCACTCACATTCGAGCAACACACCCACAAAACCAACAGTCAGTGAGGTAAGAGTTTCACACTTCACAAAGATAAACTAATAAATACAATGAGACAATATGAAGCTATTTCTGTTAGTTACAGATAAGAATGCAGTCATTCTGTGGTATTAAATAGCAGAAGAGAGGCTAATGGCTCTTTGGTCCAGCAGTGATGAAGACAGACTGCAGTCGTATAGACTCACTTGAAGATTCCTGCGGCACAGAGTAGAGCAGAAACACACAGAGCAAAATCTTTACTGAGGAACTAAAACTCTGCAGTGTCCACTCTGTGAATAAATTAAAGATTGGCAAGCATTTTTATTCTCTAGCCCACTAACCACATTCTCTCTCTCTCTCTCTCTCTCTCTCTCTCTCTCTCTCTCTCTCTCTCTCTCTCTCCCTTTCTCTCTGAAGGCCTTTTTTTCTCTGAATGTGTTTTTCGTAATACCATGTTCACCACAACCTCAGAAAACTTCTCTTTCTGCTGAAAGTCTTTCTGAATGCCCATTACTGATTACAGAAAGCTGGAAGGATTACAGAAAGATTGTTGTCATGACACCAGGCCACCTGATCTGCCACCTCCCTCCTGTAGGCTGTCTCGTCCCCACCAGTGATCAGTCCAGTGACTATAATATCATCAGTAAACTTGATGATGCTGGTGTTCTTCTGGGAGGTCACACAGTGATGTGTAAAAAAGGTGTACAGCAGGGGTCTCAGCACACAGCAATGGAGGGTCCCTGTGCTTACAGGTTTTGTGCTGGATGTGCAGTTGCCAATTCTGACTGGGGTTCATCTATAAGAGTGTTTAGCACTTAGCTGCAAAAGGGAGGGGGTCGTCTGAGGGTGAGGAGCTTTTCAGAGAGTTTGTGTGGGATGTCCATAGTGCTTCAACATTGGTGTTCTTGCCCTCTAGATGTGTGAGAGCTGTGTGAATGGCATTGCTGACTGCATTCACCAGTGGACCAGTTCTGACGGTACGCAAACGGCAGAAGGTCCAAGCTGTCTTGAATGATCTCCTGGATGTGAGTAATGAATATCCTTTTAAAACAAATCACAATGGGGCAATAGTCATTTAGGCAGGTCATGGTGCTTCTCTTTGAGAGGGGTACAATGGTGGTGGACTTGAAGCAGGTGGGTACAGAAGCTTGTGCGAGGGACAGATTGAATATGTCTGCAAGCACATCAGCCAACTCTGATGCACAAACCCTGAGTGCACACCTGAGAATGTTGTCTGGGCCAGCTGCCTTCCATGAGTCTGTTCTCCTCAGTGCCCTTTCCACATCTGCCATCTGCAATCGGTTTTGTGCACTCTCTGTAGCAAAAACCCCCTTTGTCGTCGATACTTAGGGCCTCAAAGCAAGCATAGAACCCATTCAGCTCATCTAGCAGAATAGTATGGCTAGTTGTGACACTCTTCCTCCTCTGCTGGAAATTTGGGATGTGTTGGAGGCCTTGCCACAAGTGGCAGGAGTCCACAGCGGTGTAGTATCCTTCCAGCTTCAATATGTCTTGTCTCTTGGGTTCTTTGATAGAACTACATAGGTTATATCTGATGCTTTTGTACGGACCAAACTTCACAATTTACCAAATTTTCACAGAGCAGGCCAAAAGAAATGTTTTAGGAGATATGAATATGTCATAGTGATTCCCAAATATCCTGAACAAGGATGGTCATGAGAAACACTCAGTACTAAATCCCGAGACACAGGAACAACAATCTGGTAAACTGTGTCTTGAACATTTGCTTGAAATGCCCAGTAATGCCCATTATGCATTGAAAAATTGTTGTATAAAATAAAAGCTACCTGCTGCCATGTTGAAAGTGAGACATTTTACCATTTCATGAGAAACATTAACTTATTTAGAACTTGATGACAGCAACACATTGCAAAAAAGTTGGGCAGGGACAACAAAAAGCTGGAAAAGTAAGTCGTACTAATAAAAAAACAGCTGGAGGATCAATTTGCAATTAACTCACATGACTGAGTATAAAAAGAGCATTTTAGAGAGGCAGAGTGTCTCAGACTCAAAGATGGGCAGAGGTTCAAGCTCTAAATGAGTTAATGTTTTTCATGAAAGGGGAAAAATGTCCCACTTTCAACATCTGATATGTGTTCTATGTTCTGTTGTGAATAAAATATGGGTTTATGAGATTTGCAAATCATTGCATTTTGTTTTTATTTGCATTTATTTACATTTTACACAGCGTCCCAACTTGTATATTTGTGGGTTGTATATTTGTAAGCTGTATGGTGTGTATTAAAGGTGAAAAGTGAGCTATGCATGCAGCAAATTAATGTTATTTCATTACCACACAAGAAAAAATATCATTTATACAGTGCAATATCATTCATCATTTACTAACAGAATAACAGTGATAGACTGGGATTTTCATCCTAAACAAATAACACCATTTTCATTCAAGAAAACAAAAATAACCAACAGAATAATAAATGAAAATGCTGTATTTGTTGTTGCAACACCACATAAACAAGTCCTCGGGGCCTATGGAAAAGAAAGAACTCTTGCATATAATGCTTTTTCACATAACATTTGCATAAGAAGTTAATTTTTTTGAGAAAGTAATTTTTTTGAGAAGTAAGAGTTACTTCAGTCTTTAACCTACTGAACACCAGAATGTTATTATCATAGCTATGATTTCAACAGGCATGTAGATTTGGATTTCATCCTTGTGTGGTTTGGACTTCAGTGACAGAAGTTACGTAGTATGTAGTCACACAGCTACCACACAGCAACTTCCTGTATTTTTGCCTTACCTGAAAAGAAACATCAAACAGTGTCAGAATGCAAGTACAATCAGGACAAAATTAGATCAAATAAGCATTGGTCTTCCTGCAGGATTGTCCATGCTTGACTACAAGAGATCCTGAACTACACAAAAGACACAACTGTGCAGAACCCATGAGGCTAATATGTGCCCATATGTGCTATAATAATATTAGACTGCATGTCTTGAACGTTGTCACAGATGTCATGATAAACGTCATACAGTTTTGTCTGGTTTCAGTATGGTGGGTAGTGCGGTGATGGCTAACCTCTTTACTGAGGACACAGTGGACGATAAAGATGAAAGTGCCCTGCTGAGAGTTGAGGATCAAGAAGATAATCTCTAGCGCCTCACTGTTGGCCGTGAAGACACCCAGTATCCAGGGGCAACCGAAGATGACAAACTGGGCCATGGTTTTAAAGAAAATAGTCCTACAAAGAGAAAAAAGAGAGGATGGACATTCTGCTGATGTTTGTGTCTGTTTGGAGTAGAAGTTTAGGGTTTTCTTTTTTTTTTCTTTCTATTTGTTTTGGAATATGGTCCAAAAGTTTGATTGACTAAGTATCTAAAAATTGCAAAACTTTATGGTAACATTTCAGTTTAGGTTCGCATTATAATGCCTTTATAATGATATTAAGACTTATCAAGGCAGTAGTTGGTAATTAACTGGAAATTCATTACTAACTGGAATTAATTAAATAAAGTCACATTTCTTCACAAGATCTTAAGAAAATGATGTCTTTATCCCTGGGGAACCAGTGTTTGCAATGTTGTGATAATGACATAAATAACTCAACAATTAATAACATAACAATTATTAACTCTGTACCATGAGAAAATACAGTAAATGAAATTGCCATGTCTATGTTTTTTAGACTTGGAATTCTTACTGTTTAAGTGTAATCTTGCAGTCAGAGTTATCAAATATCATATGGGACAGAATTCGTTTTTATAGAGTCAAAGGTATTTTAGATCAAATCTCAAATTATAAGCTATAGTATGTTAATAATGCTTTATTGAAATGTAATAATATATAGCATATACCATCAGAAATAGATACATTTCATCAGTTCATAATTCAGATTGACATCTGCCTGTAACGTCAGACTTCATAATAATAATAATAATAATCTTACATACTATTTATATATAAAAAAAAAAAAAAAATCTAAATGCTTATTTAATAGACCAAAAAAGACCATAACATAATTTAAGATGTACGGCTTGTGTTACCTGGTTTGTTTTATCTGTGAAACTTGACTGTTCAGGCGAGCCAGAGAAGATCGCAGACTGATAGCAATCAAACTGAAAAGGATCATGTTGGACTGTAAATGTAAAGAAAACTAGGTTATGCTTAGGTTTAACTGTTTCAACAGCTAATTTGTTAGTAATTTGAGAACACAGTGTTCGCTGATTTGACCCCTTCAATGCCCACCCATGGGCCCAAGGTTTTACTATACACTTTTATAACCTAAGAATAGTTCAACCAGTTTGCATTGAAGTCACTTTAGTTACTGAATAATAAGCATTAGTATGTAATAAACCTGGCATTTAAGGGGTTAACTGTGACTGTAATGGGTGGTTCCATGTGTACTTACTGCAAGGATGAAAAAAACAGGGCCCAGAAAACTCCAGTTGAAACCTTTGCTTGTCGTAAGCCAGCATCTAAAGAGAGCAAAGGGGTTGATCAATACTTGACTAGTTGTAATGGGGAGATTTTTACTTTGCTTAAATATTATAGAAGTTAATTGCTTGTACTTTTTGCTCAGTTATATTTCCAAAAGGATGTTTTTACTCCTTTTGTTTTCATTTAGACATTCAAAGTACTCATGACAAAACTCAGATCAGGAGATTTTTCTCCTTTTCTCTGACAAATTTGTGTACATTTGGATGTATTGCTTTGGTAAAACATTCAAGCAAATTCATATTCAGTGTAAAACAAAACAACTATGATAATTGTCTTTGTGTGAGGACCAGTACCAACAATTAGTCACCACTACACCACATCTGTAATGTCCGGCTAGGCCACTTTCGGCCACTAGGAGGGGCAGGAGAGCCAAGAATAAGTAATTAGGGCTGAGCAGCAGCAGCTGTGGGCACCCTATTTAAGGGGTGATCACATGCTGCTTGCCGCTCAGTCTTGAGTTCACGCTGCTATGTTCAGGCTGCTCTGTCTCAGCCGGTAATCTTGGTATCTGTTTCAAGGCTTTGCATTTCTCTAGTTGTTCTCCAGTGTAAGTATATAAAAAAAATCTCTTAAACGTTTCTCACCCTCCATGCTTAAGGAGAAGTGAGGGTGAGATCAAAGAAGGAAGTTGACATCACACACCACCAAAAAGAAAACTTTGAATCCTTCTGCTATGTGTTTTTACATAGCCGAGTATGTTTAAATGCAGTTATTTTTTTACTTTCGCTGAAGTGTATTCTTGGCTCCACACGTCCACCCTTAACTGAGTAAGACTTTGATAAAGTACTCATACTCAAGTACTTAAAAGTAGAATTTCAACTAGAATTTCTCTGTACTTTTTATAGTGCTGCTGATTATTGAAGTGTAACCACCAAACTTCATCTCACAACGCCTAATGAAAATAAATCTGAAGACATTAAATTTGTATTATTCTCCACACTCACTCTTCACTGCTGTATCCGTCAGGTACCACTCCAGCAGACACGCCCACCACAACCAAAGCCACCATATACCCCACAGAAGTTAAAAGCTTCCAGTTAAGCACCTCCTTATGCTTTGATTTAGGACGTGATAGGTTCTTTATAGCGAGGAAGAGCATCAGTGCCTCAATGAACATCCACACAAAAGCAGAGAGGAAGAGGAAGTGCACAATGCCTGCCAGCACTGCACACACCAACTGCAGAAAGAGTGAATTAAATACAGAAATATTATTAGTGCTGCAGTTTCCTGCAACTTTACACTATATTATTACAATATACAACTTATTACTGTTTCCTTAATTTTGATGGTGAACTAGAAATTATTTGTTGATATTTCCTTGTTCTTATTGTACTATATACACTATATGGACAAAAGTATGGGGACACCTACACATTACTCCTACAGAAGCTTTAATGACATTCCATTCTAACTCCATTTGCCTTAATATGGAGTTGGCCCCCCTTTGCAGCTGTAACAGCTTCCACTCTTCTGGGAAGCTTTCTACAAGATTTTGGAGAGTGTCTGTGGGGAATTTTTGTCCGTTCATCCAGTAGAGCATTTATGAAGTGACAAGAGGGTCAAAGGTGTTGGATGGGGTTGAGGTCAGGGCTCTTTCAAGTTTTCATCCATTCAAGTTCTTCCACACCAAACTCACCCAGCCATGACTTTATGGACCTTGCTTTGTGCACTGGGGCTCAGTCATGCTGGAACAGACAAGGCTCTTTGCCAAACGGTTCCCACAAAGTTGGAAGCATACAATAGTCCAAAATGTTTTGGTGCTGAAGCATTAAGATTTCCCTTCACTGGAACTAAGGGTTCTAGACCAACCCCTGAAAAACAACCCCATATCATCATCCCTCCTCCACCAAACTTTACAGCGGTCAGACAGATAATGTTCTCTTGGCATTCGCCAAACCCAGCCTCGTTTATCAGACTGACCAATAGAGAAGCGTAATTCATCACTTTACAGAATATGTTTCCACTGCTTCAGTGGCTGTGTGCTTTACCCCACTCCCCCACGACCCTTGACTCTGTGCAGTTCTTTTGCTGATGTTGCTTCCAGAGGCTATTTGGAACTCTTTAGTGAGTGATTCAACAGAGTATGGGCACTGTGGGTTTCAGCACTCAGCAGCCCCACTCTGTCAGTTTGCGTGGTCTACCACTTCGTGGCTGAGCTGTTGTTGCTGTTGTTGAAGAGGCAAGTCTAACAGGAAATTTCACAAACTTACTTGTGGCAGAGGTGGCATCCTGTGACAGTGCCATGTTTCAAGTCACTAAGCTCATCAGTGCGAGCCTCTACTGTCAGTGTTTGTCTATTGAGATTGCAAATTTTGAGATTGTTAAATTTATTAAAATATTTTGTTGTCTGTGAACAAACCCAGACACGAGAGCTCTTGAGGAGCTCAGGTTGATAAATCACTTCAGATAAAGTGTAGGATACTAAGTCAATTCTTGGAACAGCAATGCATTTTATTTCACTGTTTAATGTATATAATTTCTATTCTCTTTCATCTTTTTGTAATAACTGAAACTGTGTTTTGCATAAAAAATACATTTCTTTCAAAGTCAAATGTTTTATAGTATGTATGTATTTGTGAAAAAAAAAAACAGTTCATCATATATGAAAAGATGCTTATCTGAAAATCATGTGATCACATTATTCACATGTTAAGTGTTTGCATGATCATGTATTTTTCAGACACTTCACATGTGGAATATGTAATGTTTTTGTAAAGGCATTCGCTAACAAGTTCGTCTATGTTAGGTTAGCATTACACATACAGTACTGTATTTCATTTCATCACTAAGTTTAGCTTAAACACAGACAATTTAAGCTTGTTAGACTTTCAAATCATATGCTTTATTCCTGTGTTGCATTTTTACATTGTATCCATCATAAATGTTAAAACCTAAAGCCTAACTCTCGTGGGGAAGCTTATTAGCCCATGGTCATCTGCTGGGCTGGTCATCCCAGGCCTTTGCAAGCCATTTTTAATTCTTCAATTTAAAATACAAACTATTGTCACCTTCTGCTGTTCAGCTTTATTCTTTTATATGGGTGCATTAAGTCTGCATGTCTACCATCAGTAGTAGTTTGGGGTTGTGTGCAAAAGTGCAAGCTTTCACAGGGAAGCAAGAGGCATTGGTGAGATGATGAAAGGAAAAGTTCTTTGACATTAGATTGGAGCGTCTGGGCCCTAACCTTTCCTTTAACCTTAACCTATACCCAAAACCTAAACTTACCCTAACACTCATTCTAAACATAGCACTGACCTTAACACTCACTCCGACTCAAAACTCAAACCTATTCTTAACATTCACTGTAAACCCTGTCCGTAACCTCAACTCTACACGTAACCTATACTGGGAAAATAAAATGGAACCTAACCAAATATTTGGAAAAAATCATTTATAAACAGATTTCATGACTAGATGTGAGTATCTGTAAAAATAATAACCCTTACATGGTCTGTAGTTCATAGATATTCACCCAATGAAGCTACAAATATGCAATAATTTCCTGTGGAGGGTGTGTGTAGGTAACGACGCTCACCTGGTATTTTTTCTTCACTAATGTTTGTGTGAGCAGGAAGAGAAGGTGGCCCAATAACAGGCTTATACACAGGTTGATTCGAGCCGCGTTGATCACTCTCGGGTTCTTCCGACAGAGGGCAAAAGTCAACAGAGCCAATCCCAGGAACACCAGCCCAAATGACACGACCACCATGTTGATCACTTTAAAGCGATGTTCACTCTGAAATTCCTATTCAATAGGAAATCTATAGTCCAATTAAGCAAAAACTTACAAAAGATAGCTTTTCTCAGACTTATAGAGTGTCAGACATGCATGCCTTAGTTCTAAAACAATTATATAGTAAGACAGCTTTCTGCACTTGAGTTATCAGATATGGATACACTTATTCTTATAAAGTAACATAGATATCCATACCTGAGTTCTACCACACTTTTATAGTAACATACACCTATCAGGCATAACATTATGACCTTGTTTCTATGCTCATTGTCCATTTTATCAGCTCCACTTACTATATAGGTGCACTTTGTAGTTCTACAGTTACAGACTGTAGTCCATCTGTTTCTCTGCATACTTTGTTAGCCCCCTTTTACCCTGTTCTTCAGTGGTCAGGACCCCCACGGACCCTCACAGAGCAGGTACTATTTGGGTGGTAGATCATTCTCAGCATTGCAGTAACACTGATGTGGTGGTGGTGGTGTGTTAGTGTGTGTTGTGCTGGTACGAGTGGATCAGACACAGCAGTGCTGCTGGAGTTTTTAAACACTGTGTCCACTCAATGTCCACAATTAGATACTCCTACCTTGTCGGTCCACCTTGTAGATGCAAAGTCAGAGATGATAGCTCATCTGCTGCTGCACAGTTTGGTCATCGTCTAGTCCTCCATCAGCGGTCACAGGACGCACAGGATGCTGTGGTCACAGGACGCAATGGTCACAGGACGCACAGGACGCTGTTGGCTTGATATTTTTGGTTGGTGGACTATTCTCAGTCCAGCAGCGACACTGAGGCACTGCTGTGTCTGATCCACACAGACCAACTCAACACACACGAACACACCACCACCACCACATCAGTGTTACTGTAGTGCTAGGAATGATCTACCACCCAAATAGTACCTGCTCTGTGAGGGTCCATGGGGGTCCTGACCACTGAAGAACAGGGTGAAAGGAGGCTAACAAAGTATGCAGAGAAACAGATGGACTACAGTCTGTAACTGTAGAACTACAAAGTGCACCTATATAGTAAGTGGAGCTGATAAAATGGAAAATGAGCATAGAAATAAGGAGGTGGTCATAATGTTATGCCTTATCGGTGTAGATATCCATACCTGAGTTCTACAATTTACACAGTAACATAGATACTTGCACATACTACCAACATAGGTTCAAAGTAATGTACATTATATATAACTGACTCTCTCTCTCTCTCTCTCTCTCTCTCTCTCTCTTATATAATATATATATATATATATATATATATATATATATATATATATATATATATATATATACACACACACACACACACATTATGATTTGTTATTAGACCAGGAAGCTTTTCACTGTGGTAGCAGTGTTTGACTAGGTGGTGAGCTGGGACATTTTTCACTGGAGTAGGGGAATCTGATTAGGGCGGTGTTCTCTGTGTTGTCACATGACCATATACACTATCTTGTTGTAAACTTGATGTTTTGGTAAGATTTATGGTCCATATCCAGAGTAAATCTTCTCTGATTACCTGACGTGGGTTGATCTGCATGATAAGAGCGAAAGTTGATAGGTGAGTACTGGAGCACACAGTATGGCTGCTGTTGGTCTTTATACGTGCACAGCCATCTGTGACCCAATCAGTTTCATTCCAGTACACACAGGAATGTACATAATTGGGATTCAACTCCTGAACAAGAGACAAAGGGAAAAACATGATAAAAAATAACATCAATTTTTTAAAAATGTATATGTTAAAAATGCTAAAAAATATATGAAATCAGTTTAAATGTAAAAATGTTATCAAGCAAGCAGAAAGCACAACTGGTTGTTTAAACCACTGTGACTGCTTAGATGATTAACCCATCTTTTCATAACATTATTTGTTTTTGAATTGTATCATATTTCTTGGCATAATATGGATTTCTAGTCTAAAATGCAACATACAAACCATTAAAGCCATCATTTGGGTGAGATTAAAATGCAGCTCCAAACTTACTGGATCTTAGATTTTATAAAACCATCAAAAAAAAAGAAAAAAAAATACATTTGCCATCACTTTTTATACTACTTATGTCTTTTGCTTAGTGTAAGCTGATAGGTTTGGAGCTTTGCTGTGCTAAACTTTGGGCAAGATACACTGAGCCTTTTGCACCAGTTTCAGCCACAAAAAAGGATGCGTCCTGCTCACATGCTGTGTACAGACCTGGCACCTGTTTTGTTTATTCTTTTAAGGTAAGTTAACTCATCTTCTACAGAGAACACATTTAAATGTGACATTTTTCTGCAAATTTGACTGTGCAATTTCAACTTATTTGCTGAGTTTAACATATTGAAACCAAAAAATGAAAAAAAAGTGTTAAATACAGGTCACATTTTATATTGTTTTACATTATTACATTTCAAGTTCAGCAAATAAACTGTGTTCTCAGTAGAGAGTGTGTTATTATTTTTTTTTTCTTAAATAAAAATGGAGGCGCTCAAATTTTTGCATATGACTGTATAATAAAAATGTTTTCACAGATGTTGTTTGATATCCTGTAAACATTTGCATGAAAATAGAACTGAATGCATAGTTTTGTTCTCTAAACAAGATATTCAGTTTATAGTTACTGACGTGAAGTGAAAAAAGAGAACCATTTTGTATGTTTTTACTATTTCAGAAGAGAACCATTAATGCATAGGTCCAAATAAGCGTGTTCAGAACTATAATCAGATGCTGTCAGTTCATCTAAATAGAAAGGAATAACTCACTTCAAGATGCTTCAGGGTGAAATTGACTGGTTTGTCGAGGCTTCTGTTGTTGGTTTTTGGGAGCGTGGCTGAAACCACAGCAGACATGATGCGTTTTGTTGTGTTGGATGTATTGGCACTGAACAGGCTGGAATTCAACATGTTGGTGTAGCTCATGAAGGCTACAGCAGCGTGCCCTAAAACACAGATTAAATACCATACAATCACTATACAATGACATGTTTTCTTTCGTTGCATCTTTTTTTAGGCATTTCTAAAACTGCAGTTACAATATATGGAAAAAGTGTGGCCACTAGTAACCATGCAAGACCTTTATGTATAAATTCTCAGACTGCTGCATGTTATTAATTTTAATTATTGGATTTTTAGTTTCTAGTGTGATCAGATTTTCATTTGTCACAACAACAGATAACAAATAACACAAACCATTATATAGTTTTTCATTCATTTCTTGAGCAAAGTGATCTAACATTTAATGTCTGTTGGCAAATATAAGTGATCCTCTGTTTTCAGTAACAGTTGTGACCACCTTGGGTAGCAATGAATTGTCTTCTGCTTTGACCATTCTTTCTTGATTAACTGGTGTTTTTAGGGTTATTGTCATTCTGCAGGACTCAGTTCATGGATGGATGCCCAAACATTCTCCTGTAGAATGTCTTGACACAAATCAAATGATGGCAAGCTGTCACAGTCCAATAGCAGCAGAACAGCCCCAGTCCATGATACTGCCGCCACGGTCCTAAGTATTCCCTTTACCAAAGTGATACCTCTTGCGATTATCATACTTATGCCAACCAACCAAAGTAATATAGATCACTTTGTTCAGTAAATGAATGAAAAACCCAAAACTTACTTATCGCTGCTGTCGGAACAAAACCTTGTATCTCCATTTTTGTCATTTTTCAGTTTTTGACATAATTTGTCTATTGTCCTTTACATTGTGTGTAAATTTCATGATGAATGGACCAAAAGAAATGTCCCAAAAAGACTTGAAAAAATGTCTGTTGCCATTGAGTAGGTTTTTCCTTCTCCTGTAAAGTTACTGTTTTGGAGATGCAAGGTTTTGTTCTAACAGCAGCGTTATTTATTTCAGTTCTCTTTTCCTATTGTTATGAGTAAACTGAAGATGTAATCACATTGTAGGTCACTTTTATCCCAAAATTCACATAATTAAAAAGGGTTCACAAACTTTCAAGCAGCACTGTACCTAAGAGGAAGACAATAATACAGGTTGGTACCAATGTCACTAACACTGATCATACCTTGATTCATTTTCTTTCTAGAAATCCCATTCAGATCAATGTCCATTTTAGCATGTGGTGTGTGAAGCTGAAGCATTTCCTTCAAGGATGAATTTTGTCCAACTACAAAAACACGAACCTCTAACAAAGAAACATAATGCAGGTAAGTGGGTTCATATACAAATATGTGTGTTGATGAGCAGCACAATACAATGCATGCCTATGTGGTTACCTATATTTTTAAGGGAGATGCTAACAGAAGAGTTGGTCTCTACTGTCTTCACCAAAGTAGACACCAGTTTCTCAGTGGCATTCAGCATTCTATTGAAAGAGAAAACTAGTCCATCTCGGTTAGTTTTTCCAGTAATGAGACTGTTTTGTTGAGTGATAAGGTAATTCAGTGTGTCCTCCACATCCTGTTCAACAATAAGAAAGAAGCTGAAGTGTATATACGAAAGCCAAATGCTATTGGCTAAGACATATAGGTCATAAAAGTGTTAAAACAGCATTTAGAGAAACCAGTCAGAAGCATTTGAGTAATAGTTTACTTCTAAATGACCTATTAGGTCCAAAATACTACTTACTTTCTTTGGTAACGCTTGATCTATGATGTCAATCTGACTCAAGAGGTTGTTTGTACAGTCTAGGGTGGCATTAGCCTAGGAAAAAGCAAGTAATATTACACTTTGAACTTTGTACAGTTAGCTATGGCTATTAAGAGATTTGGAGAAGTCAATATGCTTCACAGTAACGTGTCTCCAGACCTTGCAAGCTTCAAGAGTCTTGATAATCAGACCTGAAATGAGAAAGGTGGTTATAAGAATAGGACTTAAAATATTATCCTGGTATAACCAAGAAACCATAATTTCATTTAACTGGAGAACTCTGAGTAAATCTTCAAACGATTTATGAATAGGATGTGAAATTATCTGACACCATGGCTTTTGTCATTATTTAGGAAATGCATTTACTTAGTCATGACTACAGTCCATTTCAAATGACCTCTGACCATCTTAGGGGTGGACAATAAATCAAACATGCCCCTAATTTATGAAGCACTCTAGAAACTGATTGAAGGATTTAATAAAACGTTCCCTGATTAATAATCAATAAACTAAATTTTGGCCAACTTGAGCATTTGGAGATCTCCTAAAAAAGGTAACATTGGGAAACAGGCTATGCATGCATTTGGAATATCACCTCTAAAAGAGGATGAACTCACAAAAAAGAAACTGTACAAATTGCAGCTACAAGTTATGGTTGAAAGGAAGGGAATTGTTGGATGACAGTATAAACTATAGCTGAAGTGAAAACTAATAAAAGGGAATTGTATTAGATGACTAAGATGATATGGAATTTTGTAAAAGGGGTGGGGTGATTACTTCATCACCCCCAAAGGGCAATAAATAGGGATGCCTTGAGATTATCTTTGCATTGTGGTTGCTGGATGATTGGTTGTAGAGCTCTCCGGCTACCCACTTCAGACCAGTTACCCACAACCCAGTCACCGCCACCTGCCTTGGACTGGCTGCCCACTCTACACTGAAGTCTCCTAACTATTACTACCTCCTAACTATTACTACTACTACTATTAATATTAGTAGAATAATAATTTTGTACGTAGTTTGACCAGAGGCAGTATGTAGCACAGAAGAGTTGAAACAGAAGCTCAGAATGCTACTAATGACTGTTAACACTAAATCTTAATCAGATGTCCCTGAGTTTACTATTCTTGATGTGGTGAGAGCTTAAAAGTTCCTGTGAAACTTTTTTTTGACACACGGACATCATAGCTGGGGGGGGGTTAGTGAAACTGAGTTCCAAAGGACCCTATTTGAAGATGGCCCTCAAGTGTCTAGAGCTAAAAGGTTTACTTTCTTGTACAACCTTAAATTTGCCAACATGGACAAAAAGGGACTTCATCTGCATCATCATTTTTTGGCGAAGGAACTAAGGGAGCAGGGTGGCACGGTGGCGCAGTGGGTAGCGCTGTCGCCTCACAGCAAGAATGGCCTGGGTTCGATTCCCGGCCGGGTGACCAGGGTCGTTTCTGTGTGGAGTTTGCATGTTCTCCCCGTGTCTGCGTGGGTGTCCTCCGGGTACTCCGGTTTCCTCCCACAGTCCAAAAACATGCAGTCAGGCTGATTGGATGTGCTAAATTGCCCCTAGGTGTGAGTGTGCGTGTGAACGTGTATGTCTGTCTGTCTGCCCTGTGATGGACTGGCGACCTGTCCAGGGTGTATCCTGCCTTCCGCCCAATGACAGCTGGGATAGGCTCCAGCACCCCACCGCGACCCAGAAGGATAAGCGGTTTAGATGATGGATGGATGGATGGATGGATGGAACTAAGGGAGCTTAGGCAGTACTCATGTGCCCAAATATGCCCTAAGATAAGTTCTGTGGGTGCACATTTAAAGCTACTTTTTTACATGTTTAAATGTGTTTTTACCTCTCTAAATACATATGAACTGAAAGCAGATGTAGGTCAAAGTTTCCATGTAAATATATAGCTGAAGTTGTAGTAGGTATTTTTGACATTCAACAGATAAAAAAATGAATGATCTTTGAATTAAATAGCCTAAGTTGCATTACCACTAATAGCTATTAGTCTTATTTCCAGTTTTCCTTAAAAAATGGCCAGGCACTGCATGAAACAAGGCAATCACTGAATAAATTTACTTTTGCTTTAGTCATTCAAAAACATTATCCAATACTTATGTAACTATATAAACTGCAGGCCATAGTTAATGAAAAAGTAACTCTTAATGGAGCACAAGTAAACTTCAATACATTTTCATCAAGCAATACATCACTAAATAGAGCATCATTATAACTTGTGTAGTCAGCAGTCATCATGTCAGTATTCACCTTCTGCATTAACCACCCTAAGAAATTTTAAACCCTGGTAAAAAAGCATTCAAATTACCGGGAGTAGAAGAAGGTGGAGAAGCTGTTGTCCCAGCTGAGGTTTGTTCAGGGATCCCTACAGGAGTTAGGAAAAGTAGTCTGTTAGGTCTTCTCTCTTGTATTAGTAGCCTAACCCAACTATTTCAATGAAAGCTTGTGAAATAACCTGAAGTACACTATATTGCCAAAAGTATTCGCTTGTCTGCCTTCACACGCATATGAACTTGAGTGACATCTCATTCTTAATCCAGGGTTTAATATGATGTCAGCCACCCTTTGCAGCTATAACAGCTTCAACTCTTCTGGGCAAGGCTTTCCACAAGGTTTAAGAGTGTGTTTATGGAAATTTTGGCCATTTTCCAGAAGCACATTTGTGTGGTCAGACACTGATGTTGGATGAGAAGGCCTGGCTCGCAATCTCTGCTCTTATTCATCCCAACGGTGTTCTGTCGGGTTGAGGTCAGGACCCTGTGCAGGCCAGTCAAGTTCTTCCACACCAAACTCGCTCATCCATGTCTTTATGGACCTTGTTTTGTGCACAGGTGCGCAGTCACAATGTTGAGAGCGCAAAATTGTCCAAAATCTCTTGGTCTGCTGAAGCATTAAGAGTTCCTTTCACTGGAACTAAGGGGCCAAGGAGCCCAACTCCTGAAAAACAACCCCACACCATAATCCCCCCTCCACCAAACTTTACACTTGGCACAACGCAGTCAGACAAGCACCGTTCTCCTGGCAACCGCCAAACCCAGACTTGTCCATCGGATTGCCAGATGGAGAAGCATGATTTGTCACTCCAGAGAACACGTCTCCACTGCTCTAGAGTCCAGTGGCGGCGCTTTACACCGCTGCATTCTATGCTTTGCATTGCACTTGGTGATGTAAAGCTTGGATGCAGCTGCTCGGCCATGGAAACTCATTCCATGAAGCTCTCTACGCTGTTCTTGAGCAAATCTGAAGGCCACATGAAGTTTGGAGGTCTGTAGCGATTGACTCTGCAGAAAGTTGGTGACCTCTGCACACTATGCGCCTCAGCATCCGCTGACCCCGCTCTGTCATTTTACGTGGCCTACCACTTCGTGGCGGAGTTGCTGTCGTTCCCAGTCACTTCCACTTTGTTATAATACCACAGACAGTTGACTGTGGAATATTTCATAGTGAGGAAATTTCACGACTGGACTTGTTGCACAGGTGGCATCCTATCACAGTACCACGCTGGAACTCATTGAGCTCCTGAGAGCGACCCATTCTTTCACTAATGTTTGTATAAGCAGTTTGCATGCCTAGGTGCTTGGTTTTATACACCTGTGGCCATGGAAGTGATTGGAACACCTGAATTCAATTATTTAGATGGGTGAGTGAATACTTTTGGCAATACAGTGTACCTGCTAAAGCAAAAGTCATTTGTCCTGTTGTATCTATTCGTTTTATTAGCTGGTACATGACCAATGAGGATTTCTTTCACAGTGGGATCCCAACCTTTGTATGACATATTTGCATAATGCATGCTGGGTATTGTAGCAACAGAGCACTTGGATAAAAACACAAATGCCACTTTAAGAAATCATTTGAAAATTTCTTATGTTTATGTATTGTTATTGTGTTGCTGTCACTTGACAATAAGCTCCATTGTGACTATTTGTTTTAGTTTTAGTGTTTGAGAGATATTCAGACTTTATCTATCAGGTGTGAATGTGAAAGAGATAGAATTCAGCAGTTTACCTTTAACAGTGAGGCTGAAGTTCCTGTACTGATTCTGGTTTATCCAGCATGAATATGTTCCTCCGTCCTCTTCAGTCAGGTCTGAGATCAGTACAGAGAGATTTCCTGGAGAGTTCTGGTTAAACGTCTGAACTCGACCGCTGTAGCGCTGAAGGAGATCTTCATGGTTTGGTGTTCTCCACTGAACTCTCTCAGCTCTGTCCTGCAGGTCAGTGCAGGTGCAGGACAGAAGAACAGACCCTCCTGAGGATCTACTGACTGGAACAGTCTGTTTATTCTCTGACAGAGCGCAGCCTAAAACAACAACACACACTCTTTAACTGACCGTCATTCTTCATACATTTACAAAAGACATTTATATTCTCAGATTGAGAATATAATCAGAAAAAGGCCAGGCTCAACTTTTAAATCTACCAAATCCATTAATCTGTCAACAATTATTTTGTTTGATTAGTGCTTTTAGAACAGATAATCACGAATTCAGTTTCATTCAAATTCACTGTAATGTTGAAATAGAATAAAAATTATTTAAATGGGATAATATTTTATCATTTAAATGTTCTGGTTTGTGTGTAACAATTTTACAACTAAAATTATGTAAAGTGCTAAACTATATATGTGTGTGTGTGTGTGTGTTTGTGTGTATATATATATATATATATATATATATATATATATATAATCATTATTGTTATTATTAGTAATTAGTAGTAGTAGTACTAGAAGTACTAGTTGTGGTAGTAGTAATAGTAGTACTTTTGGTAGTAGTGGTATTAGTAGTGGTAGTAGTAATATAGTGTCACACCTCCCTCCGGCTCCACTGATACCACCTCCAAAACTCCAACTCCCTGAATTCCAAGGGAGATGTGACTCTTGTGACTGTGGAATTATTGGGGTTCATTTCTTGGGTTTAATCTCTATATACAGAGTCATTAATTAAACATATAATTTAATGTTTCTTGTATTACTCGCTGATTAAAAAGAAGCCATTTACAGCAACTTATCTTTGGTGTGGATGTTTCATGTCTATGGGCTTGAGACCTCTGACCCCAGGTTGAGCTGTCTCCTTTAGAGAGGAAGGTTCTCTCTAGGCATGTATTTCCTGAAGCAGTTTTGGTAATGCTTGCCACTGCCATGTAAATTCTTGGTATCAGAAGCTGCAATATATCTTGCATTTCTCACATTGTACCTGACAATTACTTGTAAGTAGTACATATTTAGTAATTAAATACTACCATAAAATAAAGTGCTACCCTATTTTGTCCTGTTGGTCTGGTGCCCCTCTTACAACCTCATTTCCAAAAAAGTTAGGATGCTGTGCAAAATGTCAAATGTTGAAGTTGAGAAATTACTTTGTTTTTTGAAAAATATATACCCATTTTGATTTTGATGCCAGCAGCATGTTTCAAAAAAGTTGGGAGAGGGCAACAAAAGACTGGTAAAGTGTGTAATGTTAACATCTGGTGGAACTCACAACTAATTAAGTTAATTGGCAAAAGGTTCAGTAACATGATTGGGTATAAAAAGAGCATCTCAGTCTTTCAGAAGTGAAGATGGGAGGGGTCATCACTCTGTGAAAGACTGCACAGGCAAAAGGTGCAGCAATTCAAGACAAATGTTTCTCAATTTAAAAGAGCAATGAACTTGGGGATTTTATCATTTATGGTACATAACATCATTAAAAGATTCAGACAATCCGGGGAAATCTCTGTATTCCAGGGACAAGGCTGGAGACCAACATGGATCTTCAGGCCCTCAGGCAGCACTGCATTAAAAACGAATACAATTTTGTACTGTATGGACTAAACACCATGTCTGTGAACACACATATGGCATGCGCCCATCCCCTGGGCCCTATGGTGGCTGTGAGAGCAAGCTGGAAGGTGGGGCCAGAACTACAAGCGACGACAAAGCCCAGTGATGATGACGGGGAGAGATCTGCGAGTGAGTAGCGGATAGCGTGTGAATCCCTAACACCGCCAAAGGATGTGAGTGACGGCGAGAGGAGGATGTCAGCTGGCAGAAAGAGGACACGCTGATGATGGCCATGAGAGGCCCACGAGGCAGGATGAGAGTCCCCTGGCCCCACAGCCCAGTCCCTGAACCCTACCTCCAGTGTCCCTCCTAAGCCCGGGGTAGCACAAGTCGTGCTACAACATACAAATGCAAGTTAAAACTCTAATAAGCTTGGGCCCAGAGAAGTAAAGATAGACTGAGGCAAAGTGAAAAAGTGTGCAATTCTTTGAAATGTTATTTCTTTTCGGAAATCATGGATGCTGTATCCTCTGGACTAAAGAAGAGAGGGACCATTCGGCTTGTTGTTCAGCGCACAGTTCAAAAGCTAGCATCTGTGATAGTATGGGGGTGCATTAGTGCACGTGGCATGAGTGACTTGCACATCTGTGAAGGCACCATTTATGTTGAACAATATATACAGGTTATTGTACTTTAAAACAGGTAATCACAATTCAATTTCATTCAAAGCTAAAATTTTGAAATAGAATAAAAATCAAGCGGGATTATCTTCTGATTTTCTGATTTCTATGTAATAATTTTACAATTAAAACTGTTTATCATCATCATCATCATCATCATCATCATCACTTTTATTTATATAGCGCCTTTCCCATGCTCAAGGATGCTTTACAATCAATACATAATCAACAATACATGACACAGAACACACACACACACACTCCACGGTTCCCACAGCTAGCGGAAGAAATTTCAGTGACCACAGCACAGAGTCACTCAGCTAGCTAGCCCAGAAAGAGTCGTTAGTGGCGGGGGAAAGTCTCATGCTGCAACTACGGTGCATCACACAGAAGGCCGGACTGCGAAGCCTCGAAGACTGAAGATGTTCTTCGCCACAAAGGGGTAGCATTTTCCTGCAGCCGAACACCACCAGTCCAGGCAGCCTCATAGCTGCAATGCAGCGTTACCCAAGCGGCCGACCCGAGAGGCCTCATGGCTGCGGCGTAGCGCTGCTCATGCAGCCGAACACTACCGGTCGAGGCAGCCTCACAGCTGTAGTGCAGCATTAACCAAGCAGCCAGGCCAGGTCATGCGATGCCATGTCGATCAGGTCCCCAGTCCAGAGAGCCCCGCAGCCGCGCTGCAGCGTCACCCAAACAGCCAGTCCAACAAGCCCCCGAGCCACAGTTGGAAAACCGCTCTCAGCCACTATCTTAGTGGATATGATGGCAAACTTCTCAGGCAAACATCAAAACAAACAATACAAAGCTAACAGAAAACCAATGTAAAGCGGCAGCCATATTGCGCCAGTGTACTTACAGCGGAACGCGCGCGCACACACACACACACACACCAACACATACAGGTGCTAAACTAATAGTGTTGTATAAATAATCTTTACAGTTGTTATTATTATTATTATTATTATTGTTGTTGTTATTATTATTATTAGTAGTAGTAGTAGTAGTAGTAGTAATAGTACTAGTAGTAATATTGTCACACCTCCCTGCTACTTCGACACCGATTTGTCTCACCTGTTCTCAACTTTATTTAAACTGTTTTGTTTGCTTTGCTTCTTGCTTCAGTTATCTGAATATACCAAGCATTTCTTTCTCCTTTCTGTTTATTAGATGTTTACCTGATTCTGTTTTTGCCTTTGCCATTTGCTTAGTTTACTGCTTTTTACTGAATTGTGCTTTAACTATTCTGTGTGTATCTCTTGGTTTTTGATCGCTTAGTTTTGTCTCTTTTGCATTAAAGCCTCAAAGATTGTTTGTAACCCGAGCTTCCGAGTTCTTCTAACCGATTACATATTGCTACTGTCGTTTTTTTCTGAAATGGACATCTATAGTCAGGTTAAATTTTGGGCATACCTTGTCAAATGTTATAATTTCTGTGTGAAGATTTTCTGAGATTTCCCTACTAAATTGTCCAGTTTATACATTATTGTCCAAATCATGCAGTCTGACTGCCATTGTATTCCACAGTTACTGTTACTGTTCTCTTCAGTCTTACAGAGAGAAGCTTCTGGAAACAGATTTGGTGCTGAGTCAGTTACACTGGTGCAGTGTGATCAATAAAAATTAAACTGTATAATGATTTGACTGGCTGACCTTTGACCTGTAGCATGATATGTGGCATGTCTCCCTCATCAGCTCTGCAGGTGTAGAATCCAGCATCCTCTTTAGTCAGATCTGAGATGAGGAGAGAGAAATTTCTGGAATGTGTTTGGTCGAATATCCAAATTCTGCCTCTGCAGGATTCTCTGTCATTACACACTGCAGTCTGATCTCCAGTCTCTGTCTCTGAGAATCTCCATGTGTCTCTATCAGGGTTGATCTGCTCTGCAGGACAGGGGCAGGGCAGCAGAACAGACTCTCCTGGAGATCTGATGAAAGTTCTCTCACTGTCAATCAGCAGGGTGCAGCCTGCAGACCCACAAATACAGACAGACACATCACCAACACATCACCATCTTTCACCAGCTAACAACACAGTAAACAGTTCTGTCAGTAACCTTTGACCTCTGTTAATATCAGCTGGACATGAACCTATTATATCGGTTATCTGGTGTAATCACATTTTATTCTATATTACATTATTATATCACATGGAAAAAAAGTTTGAAAGCTATTAGAAAACTAGCAACAAAGTGTTTATTGATGCTTGACTATGTAAAAAAAGAAATTGATTAAAAAATATTTTTACAAAACTTAACATTGATCCTGGCTCGAACCTTAACCTCATCCCAAAACATAGCCGTAACCCTCACTCTGGCCCTAATCCTACTAATCCTAACCTCAACCCAAAACCTAACCTCAACCCACATCCTGGCCCTTATCCTAACCATGACCTTAACCTCAACACAAAAGCTAATCCTAACCCTGATCCTGGTCCTAATCCTAACCCTAGTCTTAACCAAAACTTAATCCAGTTAAACTCCAGGTACAGAATGGTGTCAGCAGTGTGTGTATAACAGCTTGTTGAGGATGTTGAGATGGTCTGTATTAAACCTGTTACACATTCAGTTCCTCTCAGGTTAAACATCTACAGATATGAACTTGGACACCAAATAAAATGATAAACTGAATTTAACAGAATATAAACACATTTTATTCATGCAGTCAGTCTTTATAACCTACTGAATGTATTCACTGCTGCCACATCATTGATATGTTGTTAATATGTTCCTGAAAGTCTGTCGAGTGTTTATTTCATATAAAAACGGCTGCTCAAAATAAAGTGCCACCAAAATCACTACAATGGAAAACTGTGAAATGCAAAGCACACATGGACATTACTTTTCCATAGCGATGTGCAGAATTCATGCCAAAATGAAAAGCAAAACTTCTATTATATTCTCACCAAAACATTTTCAAGATTTGAATTTGCATTTCTTTCTTTAAAGGCAAACTTGTGTGCATTGCATTGCACTTTTTGTACTGTTAAGGTTCAATTCAGAAACAAATTCACCGTTTTGTTTTAATTTCATCATTATTTTGAAGAGTAGACTTGTTTAAGGTGTGGATACACAGACATAGATACTGTGAGACATAAGACAAATGTTCTATTTGTCAGTATATTTATGAATATGTAGGATACAAAACACAGAAGAACACAGGATTGGTTCCTGACTTCTCACTGCACTCCAGCCAGTATCGACAAAACTGGATCAACATGTTGCCCAGTGTTGAGCTTCTGTTTAACCGTTTCAGTGACTTGAGAGTCTTTTGAGATCTATAAGAGAGGCCAGAACTGGAGCCTGTATAAATATAAAGCAGCACTGAACGGAACATTTAAAGAACCAGCTTTGATCAGTTTCAGACAAGAACACAGTCAATCCTTAGAAAAGGAGATCAGACAGAGAGGAGAAAGAGCCAATAAAGACATGATAATAACAACATATCTAGAACCTGAACTTTTCTACATTTCACTGCTCACAGTTTACTGTCTACAGTTCACCATAGTAAAGGAGTGAGAAAGTTAAGCACTAAGCAACAAAAGGCCCTGTGTTAGTGCGATGTTATCTTGGGGAAGCGTGTTCTTAGGCATGACGCAATGCAGAGTAAAAGCCCTTCTCCATGATAAAATCGCAGTAATGAAACTCGAGTGGTTTATTACTTTTATAAAATGATGGACAACATAAAAACTGATAAAATACTAAATTTTTCAGTAAATAATGTAAGTTTTTATTAGTAATAATCGATATAAACAAGTATTCAGCTATGAAATGTAATTACTTTAGAGTACAGTATTGTTGTCAAGCAACCAAGTACTGCTGAATGAGGAGAAGAACACTCGGTCACCCATTACTGTATATTGCAGTCATTTCAAGCAGTTTTTAATTATTGTTGTAAAACAACGAACAAATAATACAACTTTTAATGCAAAATTGTTCTCTTTGTAAGTACTTTTTGGTCAGCAAATTACCGCTGTGATACTCAACAAAAAGTGCACTGTATCGCTGTGGAATTTCAAAACTTACATAGCACACTATTTAGGGAGTACACAGCCATTTGGGATTCAGCCCGGGTTTGATGCACTTCTAACTGAAACATGAACATTTTGTGTTTAAGCCATTGAAGCGACATTCTTTAGACTTTTGCTGTCTTACAGTGAATCATATAGCCCATACTTTAATTCATGTATACTGTATTTTAGAATGGCTTTGAATCAGATTATTTGGACCGGAACCGATTTTATCGATTTTTATAAATGAAGAGTAACTCACACAGTCGTGTAGACTCACCTGAAGATTCCTGCAGCACAGAGTAGAGCAGAAACACACAGAGCCACATCTTTACTGAGAGAACAGAACTGTTCACCTCTCTCTCTCTCTATCTCTGTCTATCTCTCTCTCTGTCTGTCTCTCTCTCTATCTCGCGCTCTCTCTCTCTCTCTCTCTCTCTCTCTCTCTCTCTCTCTCTCTCTCTCTTTCTTTCTTTCTTTCTTTCTCTCTCTCTCTCTCTCTCTCTGCTCCAGCAGTGTCCACTCCGAGAGTGTGAAAAGTGACACAGGCGCTTTTACTCTTCAGCTCACTGACCACATCCTGAGAAAACTTCTGCTTCTCTTTCTGCTGAGAGGCTCCAGAAAAGGAGATTTTGATCATCAAAATGCTTCACTGGACCATCTATACTGACCAACGTACAAAAATAGCATTTGAATACTTTTAAGAATAAATCGATTTTTTTTACCCCATTGCCAGCATGTTATAATTTTGTCAAATTGAGAAATGTCTAGTTGAAGAGTACCTTCCAAAAGGCATTTTAATTTGGTATATGTCCAAAAGTCTGAGACCACAAGGGAAAAATTTTACATGACTTTTTGAGAATTTCTTACTATTTGGTTCAGTATGTACCTCTTTTGCATTGATAACACTTAATCTGCCATGAAATCCACAAGTTTATGTAAAGCCTCTGATGATTAGATTAGATCCTTAGAGTCATCCGAACACAAGCTGTATAAGTTGTCTGATGTATTTTTCGCTGTTACTCTAACAGCAGCCATCGGTTATCATTGGTCAATCTAAATACTTCTGTCAAATGACAGGCTGGTTTAATTTTTTCCTTTTCAGTAGTCAATACTGTACATTAATTGCAAAATCTCATTCTCTGTTCACATTGCACTTATGGTATTGTTTTGCTCTCTGGTGCAGACCAGAAGAGTATGGGTTTACCTTTTGAGTCTTCCTCTCATGTGTTCTTCCTCTTGCTATTAGGGTTTTTTTTTTCTTGCCACTGTCATCCTGGACAATGGTCACTGCGTCTTGGGTCCAGATTTTCTGTAAATCTGCTCTATGACATCACCTGTTGTAAACACCTAAATAAATACATTTTGCTTTGATTTTTTATCTATTATTTTTGGCCAATGTTTTTTTCATTTTTTTCTTGCAGTTAACTGGATATATGCTCATGAACTAAAAGACACTTGAATATCAAAAATAGTCAGAATGCACAGGTTCAAGGTTCAAAGTTTTTTGTCATATGAAACAGTTTTATCATACATGGAATTTATATCTGAAGCACTTTCCCAATCAGGAGTCAAAACAAACAGTATATACCACCAGACACCAATTCCAGACAAGCAGCACTGCATCCAGACTACACACAAAATTACAGAGGTGTGGACTCGACTCACATGACTTGGACTCGAGTCACAAATCTGATGACTTTAGACTCATCTCGAGAAAGTCGAGAAAGACTTGGGACTGAACTTTGACTTCAACATCATTGACTCAGACTCTGACTCAGACTTGAGTGTCATGACTCGGAAAGACTTGAGATCCAAAGTGGAAGAAAAATGGAGACTCTGTCTGCAGACTGGACTCTACACAGTTGATTATTTTTCATATGAATGAATTTGCTTCCTGCCATAAACTGAATGAACAGCAATGTCATCAGATATCTGTTACTGTGCTTAGGCTTATTTTATTTCAGAAGACAAGCCAAGCATTAGAGCTCAAGTTTGGCTCCATAAGCTGGAAACAAGTGAAGCATCAGCAGCATCAATGCGCATATATATATATATATATATATATATATATATGTAATTAAGTTCAGTAATACTTGCAAAATTCTTTTCATATGTAGTGCAATACTCTTCGTGTATACCGGTATGACTGTCATGGTTATCTGTGTACCATAATAATAATAATAATAATAATAATAATAATAATAATATTATAATAATAAAAAAGCTGGAAAGTATAAATAAAAAATATTAATATACAGCCATACATAGCTAATGTGCTGTGACTAAAATGCTATAGTACTGTTAACTTTATTCAGTGTTCATGGCCTTAAATTAGCTGAAGAATGCAGGCTGACCTGTTTAAGACTCAAAGATTAGGACTATTGACTTGGGACTTGACTTGAGACTTGCCTGTACTGACTCAGGACTTGAATTGAGATTAGACTATCTTGACTTGGCACTTGACTCAGGACTTGAGTGTGAAGACTTGTTCCCACCTCAATTTAACAGAGAAAAATGGCAATGTCACTAAAAGGATACAGTGGTAAGACAGCAGGGTGTTGCAAGATGTGAACCAGTGTTGCAGGAAGTTAAGTGATACATTTCTCAATGTTAGGTTGGCAGAGACAGAATTCATTGTAACTTAGAATATGAAATGTGTCACTACATATACCTCATTATGTCTTTTTCTTTGAAACTCTTCTCTAGACATTAAGCATCTTGGCATGCTCTGAATTCAGGTGCACTACCAGCGTTGCTTATTTAATACTGTGTAGCTTTGTGATGATGTTAGGTTATTCACCTTTCCTCAGTAAATACTATGGTGACTTTTAATATGGCAGGCACTTAATTGTATTAATTTAAGCTTCTACTTACCTGGGAGGATCCAGGCAAGGTGGGAGCCAGGTCGCTGGTACCTGTAAAGAAGAAAATATAATGTTAAATATAGCTAGCTTCGCAGTATCATTTCTTAAAGTTAAGTGTGCACGTGTATATATGAAGAAACCCCTAGACTGTGAATAATGGTTTGAGCCCAGAGTTAATGTGGGAGGGGTGACCAGGTTAAAAGGGAAGGGGGACAGTGCAGAGGGGATGTGTTTGTGGAAGGTCTGTTTGGCAGCCTCAGACCCAGTGCAACAGAATTGCTTTAGTTCTGTGTGAGACAAATGGCTGCCAGATGCTGACTGAGTCAGTGGAGTCATTTGGTTACAGCTTTGTTTTTTTTTGTTTATTTTTTCTCGTGAGTGTAAATACTGTGCAAAACCACAATAAACTTCAGAGCACTGTGGAATTGAGACCCTGATGTCCAAGAGTGTTGAATGGGGAGCCTCCAGACAACTTATTGACCACAACACCACCAAAGTGGCGACCACACTTATCACAAGCTTATTTAGTGTTTAGTAGTACACAATAAGTTCCCTGGACTAAAAATTAGTTGCACTCATCATTTGTTCTCTAACACTTGGTAAGGAATTGAATTACCTTAATGGTAGCAGAGTTTTTGTCAAGTGAGTATTACATAAGCCACTAAGGATAGAGTTCCTGTCAATTTTAGCCCACTCTTCAATGAACTTTGAACACACCTCGATGTAGCAATGACATTGATGAGACACTGTCAATGAGGGCAGTGAATTCCTATCTACGCTGCACCCGACCCAAAGTCCATGGCAGTAGCCTGGGACTGATATCCCAACTAGGTATGATCACATGATACTGAGAACAGGTGAAACAGATCAATATTCAGGCGTGGATGAGTGCTGGTGGTTTATGATGGTGGCACCACAATCACATTATCTCCCAGGAAGTTCTGGGAAATGGAGTTCATAAGAGAGTCTGAGCCGGAGGGATGCGTGACAGCGGCCTATATATAGAGATTCCCTGTAGATATATCTACATAGGTTCTCTGTAGAAGATGGTTTAACTTATTTTAATGTTTGCATATAACTGAATATGTGTATATAAGGCATAAAAACACATTGAACATTTTCTCTGAATTAATTTTTCATATTAACAATTTTTGTTATTTTTATAATTTATACAGTAGATTTAAACCACTGATGATGATAATCTCCTACAAAATCTTTTCTCTGAATGAGAAAGAAACAGTAGGTGGCAGCAGTTCAAAGCTTCATTCTTCATACAGGCACAGTTCATGTGTACATGGCCAAAGATTTGGGGACAAATGATCTTGCAGTCTTCTGTGGATGGAACATCTTAGAGGACCTAAGGACACTAAATCTCAGCCTCAGACACTCCACCGACACGTATCAGGAGCATTTCACGTTTAGAATTTTATTGAGTTTTACTGAGCTACATTGTTCAGTGTGATGCTCTATCTATCATTTAAGAATTATCTTTTTGTGGAGATGCTTTTAGGAAACCCAGTCCTGGTCTTTAGGGTCAGGTCAGTGCAGAATCAGAACCGAACAACCACCATACACTTATTACTTCAGCCTGGCATTTTAAGATACACTGTTGTTAAGGGCCATTTTCAGTAGACTCTGCTGCTCTCTGTTACTTTTACAGCATTTATTGCAGCCTATGTTAATAATCACAGCTATAAACTGATAAGGTTCTTACATCAGACTGACCTTTGAGTTTACCTGAAGTGACGTTCTCAGCACTACTCATTCTGCAGAGGATGTATTCTGGGATTATGGAGGAACATAAATTACATTTGGAGAGCAAAATAGTGAGTATGTTATTGCACTGTGTAACAAACCTTTATGTGTATTATGCATATATCACTGAAAATTATGTGCACTGAAAGTCTCTTTGGAGGTGCCATAGTGTAGGGGGGCACTGAAATGCAAGAGAAAGACGTGTAGTTTCATAATGTGGACTGTTACCGTATGGGCATCTTACTAATCTTTAGTGCTTAGAGTAAAGATAGGAATGTAGTGTTTACTGTTTTTTTATGTATTAGAGTAAATGTTGTAAATGTTGTAAAACGAGGACCTATATAATTGGGACGGGGGACTTATGTAACAGACATTTATGCACTCTATATTGGTTGTGGAATGGTTATGTGCAGTTAATGTCCCTTTAGTGGTGCCACAGCACTGACAAGTGGTGGCAAAAAAGTAAGTTGTTTTGGTCTATCGTATTGTCCCATTTGTGTTTTTTGTTTTATTAAGAATTATGATTCAGTTAAGCAAGTCCTCCATGAAGCTGGTTACACACTGTCTGCAATGTAAACTAGATGTACGTACTAAGTGCTGGTTTGTTGTACAGAACAACAATCAATTACTTAGCAAATAAGTTGAAATGAGAAAGCACAACAGTGTCCTGGAAAAGGAGCATAACTAAATGTTGTGTCTTCATAGGTCTTGATGGATAACTACAAAAGACTGTTTATAGAGCTCTTCAGTCTTGGTGATTAGTGTTGTAGTCAAGACCAGTAGGTCTGAGTCTGAGGCAAGACTGAGGCTGGGACACATTGAGTCTGAGTCAAAACCAAGACTTTTAGTAGTCAAGTCTGAGTCAAGACTGAGACCAGGAGTGGCCAAGACAGAGACCAGATTAAGAAAAAAAAAATGCCCGGTAACCGCTGGGATGGGCTTCAACTCCCCCCCCCGTAACTCAGAGGGATGTGCAGCTTGGAAAACATGTTTGTATATTATATTATATTAAAATATAACGTTAAAGAAATGACCTAAAACATTACTACATTGTGTATTATGTATTAGAGTAATAATGGCTGTTGTAGGAAGAAGTTAATGATATAGATTCATGGCCACATAAAACAGGGAAAATAGCTAAAAATACGGCAGAAAATATCCAAACATTAACTACAATTAATGATGCTCTATCAACAGATTTGTAAACAATGTAATATAAATGTAATATAAAGCTCTCAGTAACATTATTATTCTTGATTGATGCAAGTAACGTTTTCTGATAGAGTTCCACCTTAAATGGTGCCCGAGGGCCTGAGGCACCAGAATGTAAATGAATGTAAATTTGAACAAGTTGACGGATAAGAAGCTGACTTCTGCTTTGTGTGATTCAGGCTATCAAACTGGCCTGCCTACAGGTTCATGTAGAGCTTTAACTGTAAATACACACTATGGTGTCACATTTCAACAAGGCAGCAGATTTTGTCAGAACACCTCATTGTTGAGCTAAAATTAAAGCAGTGATGTAAAAATACTCATAAAAATACTTATAAATGAACTCAAGGAAAAGACCAAGTTTTGCTTGGTTAGTGCTGTAACAAGGGTGACTATTTGCTTTTTCTTCAATTACTTCTATTTCTGCTAATTTGTCACATTTAAATGTAGCTCTTAAATGGTCAATTCCATTTATTGAAGATAAAAATTTATTCAAAACCTATATCACCCATGTGAAAAAGTTACTGCCCCCTTAAACCTAATAACTGGTTGTGCCAGTAGCAACTGCAAACCTTTGTGATAACTTATTTTTTACATTGCTGTGGAGGCATCTGGTCTACTATTTTTTGCAGAATTGTTTTAATTTGGATATATTTGAGGGTTTTCAAGGTTTCTGCCCCTTGCAACTCTCCCATGGATGCCAGCGCCCTAGTAATGGTTTTGTAACCCTTTCCAGATTGGTAGATTTCAATGACTTTGTTTCACATCTGTATTTGAATCTCTTTAGAATGTGGGATCATGTGCTGCTTACCTTCTGGCCTGCTTCACATTGCCAGTCAGGTTGTGTTCAAGAGATGTCTAGATTCAACAGGTCTAGCAGTAATCATGCCTGGGTGTGGCCAGTAAAACTGAACCCAATGGTCAATTAAATTTGGTTAACTGGTTGATTTAGTAGCTAAAGGGGCAATTACTTTTTCATATAGGGCTAGGTAGGGCTGAACAAAATATGCTTCCTGTTGTAGATTTCCAATATTAATATATATTTTATACATTCACACTGTTGTCAGGTTTAAGTACTGATGAATCCTTTTCTTCAGTCAAAAGCTTGGAAATATTGAGTGTTGGGGTGTGGATACTGCAAGCATTGTCTTTGTTTGGAGCTCTGTAGTGCTGATGTGATGTGGCATATAGGTTTCAATTGATTTTATTCTCAGTTTAAACTAGTTTAAGCTGGTTTATAAAAAAACACAGTTCAAAGGATATTCAAAACAGATTTTGCATTCCATGTTAGTGCCACAGATTTTATTAATCTTTCAGCACAATGAGCAAAGTCCAGCTTTAAAAGATAAGGTTGCTACATTAGTCAGACCTTTTAAGTTTTAATTATTAATGACCTAAAGTTTCTGTAATGTTCTCAGTACAAACAATAGGAGTACCTCTGTCTAGAAAAGCTCCATTTTATTCCACATGTGTATTTCAAAATTTATAAGTGCAATATAAACACATCAAGTAACTGAATCTGACCAGTATTTTGTTAGTGAGCTGAATCTGTTGAGGAAATAATTAATGAGTGCAATTTTTTTCTTGAACAATAATATTATTATTATGTTCAATGTTTAGAGGATTGCCTGATTAGAAGATGGATGCTTCCACTCCAGCTCACACCAGTGCTGTCCAGACTAACATCACAGCTCAGACAGGAGGAACTGTCTGTGCTCCGGTGCTTCATGGAAATCTATTTCAAGGACAAGTTGTATTTAATTTACATGGAGGTATGTGATGCACCATAAAACCAACTAAAAAGTGAATCTGTTTGTACTATTGTGCATGTAAAGTTGTATCTAAGCTGTATGCATATCTTCTCATACACTGCAGTAAATTAAAAATGAACACCTTACCACTCACCACTTTCCTTTTTAATTGTACACCATTGTTTGCTGATGTTTAAATATGAACATAGAAATATATCTGACCTGCACATTAAATGAACAGCAGTAACATGTTCATAAAACCATGCCCTTTCTCAGGCAATGCATCCCACTTAATGGCTTTGGGGTTCTATATTCCTTTCTCTTTGGCAACTTGTTATCAGCTTATTAACTTTACATAGCATATAATATGCATTTAATAATATTGTTCTAATTAAAACGTGGTTTCCCTACAGCTCATGAAGCTTCCAGTGCTAACCCCAGCACAGCTCAAACTGGGAGCTCTGTTGCTTGTGCTGAACTCAGTGAAGGTAATGTGTGGCATCACTATACTGAACTGTTTGTCTGTTCTATGAATAGCAATAAATGTTAGCTTTTTCTTTCTTGTTTTTAAATCTACATGGATTACTGAATAAAAGCTGGCATTCTTCACAAAAAAACTAAAACAAATACAAAATGAATTGTGTTCTAGAAGTTAAAGAATGAGATTATCTAAGAAAGAAATACACTATTTGGTGAACCTATTTCATATATATATATATATATATATATATATATATATATATATATATATATATATATATATATATATATATTTAAAAATTGCCAGCTTGCACACTGCATACCTGAAATGTCTTGGTAACAAATGCCTCACAACAAACAGTTTCCAAAAGTATTTCTACTGTTTCTTTTCTTCTGATTTCCAGACCTGATCGCTAAGCAAAAACAAGAACACAAATCCAAATTGCAAAAGAAATTCCAGAAAATTAATGAAGGACTTTCCAAGCAAGGAAACATAACACATCTAAATGAGATCTACATAGAACTGTACATCACAGAGGGTGGGAGTGGAGAGGTCAACAATGAACATGAGGTAAGACAGATTGAAATATCCAGGAGACAGCCAACAGAGGAGACACCCATCAAATGCAATGACATCTTCAAACCATCACCAGAACAAGACAAAGTCATCCGAACTGTGCTCACAAGAGGAGTAGCTGGAATTGGAAAAACAGTCTCTGTGCAGAAGTTTATTCTGGACTGGATTGATGGAACAGCAAATCAGGATGTCACCTTCATATTTCCACTTCCTTTTAGGGAGCTGAATTTGATGAAGGGGAAGAAGCTCAGTCTGATCGATCTTCTTCAATGCCTTTTCCCAGAAACAGAAATACTAACATTAATTGACTATGTTGAAAACAAAGTCATATTCATCTTAGATGGTCTGGATGAATATCGACTTCCTCTAGATTTCCAGAACAATGAAAGCTTGTTTGATGTGAGAGAGTCAACCTCAGTAGATGTCCTGCTGACAAACCTCATCAAGGGGAATCTGCTGCATCCTGCTCTTCTCTGGATAACCACTCGACCAGCAGCAGCTAATCAGATCCCTTCTGAGTGTGTTGACCGGGTAACAGAGATTCGAGGGTTCAGTGATCCACAGAAAGAGGAATACTTCAGGAAAAGGATCAGTGATCAGAGCAATGCTGAAAAAATCATTACACACATACAGTCATCAAGAAGCCTCTACATCATGTGCTACATACCGGTCTTCTGCTGGATTTCAGCCACTGTTCTAGAGAGGGTGTTGGGTGAAACAGAGAGCAGACAGATTCCCAAGACTCTGACACAACTGTTCACACAATTCATGATCTTTCAAACTAAGCATGGGAGTCAGAAGTACCAAGGAACATGTGTGATTGATCCTCACCAGACTAGAGAGAGTATTCTGGCACTGGGGAAACTGGCTTTCCAGCAGCTACAGAAAGGCAACCTGATCTTTTATGAGGAAGACATCAGAGAATGTGGCATTAATGTAAGAGAAATGTCAGTGCACTCAGGAATGTACACACAAATTTTCAGAGAAGAATTTGAGCTAGATCAAGTGTTTACCTTTGTGCATCTGAGCATTCAGGAATTTCTTGCAGCTTTGTATGCATTTCTCTCCTTCATCCTCAACAATGAAAATATCTTGAAACAAAAAGTCACTGGAATCCATGGTCTTTTCAGCAAATCTAATATGACAACATTTCTCAAGAATGCTGTGCACCAAGCCTTACAGAGTGAGAATGGACACCTGGATCTTTTTCTCCGTTTCCTTCTGGGGCTCTCACTGGAGACCAATCAGACTCTCTTACGAGGCTTACTGCCACAGACAGCAACCAGTTCTCATAGCATGAATGAAGTAATCAAGTACATCAAGAGGAAGATAAGGGAGAATCCATTTCCAGAGAAATCCATCAACCTTTTTCACTGTCTGAATGAACTGAATGATCACTCTCTAGTACAGGAAGTACAAACATACTTAAACACAAGAGGTAATGGTCGTCTCAATGGAGCTAAACTTTCTTCTGCTCAGTGGTCAGCTCTGGTGTTTGTATTACTGAACTCAGAAGAGGAGTTGGATGAGTTTAACCTGAGAAAATATAACAAATCAGATGAATGTCTTCTGAGACTTCTGCCAGTGGTAAAAGCATCCAGAAAAGCAGAGTGAGCATTTTTAGTTATATATTTGACTCCATAATTATTGGTACCTTTGGTAAAGTAGGGTAAAAAAGGTCATGAATAAAATGTCTTTGTGGTAAATTAGCTCAATCTAACACAGAGAATTAGAAATGTCTTATGTTTAACCCCGGAAATGGCCAAGGCCTATCAACAGGCCCAATTTTTTATTACACACTTTTATAATATAAGTATAGCTCAACCAGTTTGCTGTAAAATCCCTGTAGTTACTGAATAATAAACCTCAGTATGCAAAAAGCCTTGGATTTTAAGGGGTTAACTGAAGGAAATTTAGTTCAACATGTGTCACAATTATGGGAAAACTCTGCATTTAGTATCTTGTTTTGCTAACGTAGTAGCAATGAGTTCTCATATGATGCTTATTGAGATTGGAAAATACATCTCAATATTGTGTCTCTTGGTCATTGAGACATTTTTTGTGGATTTAAAAGTATTTCAATTAAAAAAGATAATATTGCTCATGATTGTTTCCCATTACTCATCAGTGGTTGTCACTAGCATAGCATTCCTTAAAATGTTGTTTTGCATTAATTTTTGTGTATAATTGTTGTAAATGTGTGTGTATATATGTACATTTGTGTTTGATATGGGGGTGTTCTGAATTTCTCTCCCAGGTTGTGTGAGTGTAATCTCACAGAGAAAAGCTGTGCAACTCTGGCCTCAGCTCTCAGTTCAAACTCAAATCTGAGAAAGTTGGACTTGAGTAAGAACAACCTGAAGGACTCAGGAGTCAAGCTGCTCTCTGCTAGCCTCAAGAGTCCAGAGTGTAAACTGCAAATACTGAGGTGAGATAACGATTTGCTTATAGTGGGTCAAGGGCACAATTTTTGATTGCTTATTTGATTATGTCTTTGACCTAAGGTTTTTAATTATGTATTTATGTTTGTGACATAATTTATAAAAAACTTGAACTTAGCATGTCAACCATGATCCATGATGGGAGGGGTGACTCCCCCTTAAATTTGTTTTATTTGTTAAACATATTAGCATGTAAATTTGTAGCTTTCTGTGAGATGTTTTCTGTAATATATTGTCTTTATTACTGCAAAAAAGATGTATGATGCTTTATTGTTGGATCCACTTATTTCAAGTCAAGTCAAGTCAGCTTTATTGTCAATACTACAATATGTGCAGGACATACAGAGTATTGAAATTGCATTACTCTCAGACCCCATGGTGTAGCAATAACATTAAATATACGGTAAACAGGAAAAGTGTGAATTTAAATAGACACTATAAAAACACTAAAGACTAATTGTAAAAATAAACACTAATTGTGGAAAAATAGAATAATACGAAAATAATATAAATATAAGAAGGTCCTGAAATTAACACTAAAGTGACATTTAAGTCTGTGGGTATAAATAGTGGAAATATAAACAGTAGTGCAATTAGAATGAGCTTATGGAGCAGTTAAAGTGATGAGTGCGTAACAGAAAGTGATGGGTGCATAACAGTCTCTGAGAATGTCAGAGTTTTCTTATGTGTAAGCATTAAAGAATTGATGTAGGTCTAACTCTTTTATAGTCCCTTAGTTCTAGGCATCAAGTAAGTAAGAGTGCAATCAACAAAATACTAGATCATTTCTTTGGGTTAATATGATATTTTGGTGAGCTCCAGGAGGGTCTAACTAAACTGTATTAAAATGCCCAATGGCTGCCACTTACCAATTTTTCTGGTTTTTGCTTTCTTACAAAAATGGGAGCTTACAGTGAAATTTACTGTGTAAATATTTTCCACCTTGTTACTCCAAATAATGTGCCAGTTATGAGATATTTTATAATGACCTTCATACGTACAACCTGTTAGACATTGCAGTGTAATGTAGTTGGACTCAGCACTTTCTTGGTATTTCCTTGGTGCTTACATGCCTCTTACATGAAACACAAACAGCAGGGTGTAGTGGTGGTGCTGGACTCAGAAGACAAGAACATTTTTAAAAGGAATGCTGTTACTCTTCAACTATTAAAGACAGAGATGTTCATACAAGGCTACAGCCTTTCTAAATGGAAGATGGTAGAGAAAACACATCATATCATATATCCCATAATGTTTAAAATAATATAAAATAAAATAATGTGCAATAAAAGATCAAAGAAAAATGTTAATGTTGTGATGCTTAGTATTTTTTGTCTTACTAGTTAACTCATTAGTATTATATAATAATTAGTACTATATTAATTACGCTGCAGAATTACTTTTTGACAGAATATGAGGATTTGTGCTCCTTCTGCAGGCTGGAAAGCTGCAGCTTTACAAGTGAAGGTTGGACTGTTCTGGTTAAGGCTCTGAAATCAAACCCCTCATCATACCTGAGAGAGCTGAATCTGAACAACAATAAACCAGGAGAGTCAGGAGTAAAGGAGCTCTCTTATCTGCTAGAGGATCCTCGGTGTAAACTGGAGAAACTACAGTGAGTCATAAACATTTACGATTAATACAGTAATTCAGTAGTAAAAACATACTAACCTATACAACAACTGTCATGTTCCAAGACACTCAGTTATATATCAGAACTATCAAAAAATATTTATCTCCCAAGATAATTGAGATAACATAAATGTGTGTTAATCTGTATGTTTGAGGAGTTTTTATCTTTCTGCAGACTGTATAACTGCAGTATTACAGAGGAAGGCTGTGTTGCTCTGGTTACATCTCTGAAGTCAAACCCTTCACACCTGAGAGAACTGAATCTGAACTGGAATAATATAAGTGACTTAGGAGTGAAGGAACTCTCTAATCTACTGAAGGATCCACAATGTCAACTGGAAAAACTTCTGTGAGTTATGCATTTGCAGACATATAGTAATATGGCAAAGTTTTAGGTACTTGAAAATTAGAATTTCAAGTCAAGGCTTAAGGATACAATAAACTTGAATTTTTAAAAGGCTCTCAGAAACAGCATAATAGATAGATTAAATTGGAGGCCTACTAGTTAAAAGTGAGCCCTGAAGCTTATGCTGTAATTACGTGGCAGGTTTACTGAACAGTATCTTAAAAATTGCTTCAAATGGAAGAAAACAACAAATAATAATAGAAAAACATGACTAGCCCAGGTATAGTCAAACAGTTTTAAGTAAACAACAGGCTTCCTTTTTAGTACCCAATGTAACTCAATGAATTAGCTAACACTTAACAGCTCAGCTTGGTATAACAAATGCACCTCAGAATAATTTTTTTAACAGTTGAGAATCTTTTAATGGGAATATATTTTCTTAAAGCCTGAACAAGACATCAATGCTCAAAATGCATTAAGTTTCAATTTGACCTCACCAAAATAGAATAAGATAAACAAAACCTTGTGATCAAGTGTTTCAAAATGGTTAACAGTACTCACAGTATTTCCAGGAGTCAGAGTTTGGTGGGAAAAAGAGGAGGGGATAAGCGGTTGCAATACTACGACAATATTGTGTGGACGAGGCACTGGAAGAGGTGGGCATGTATGCTCCCATGAAGCCAGAGGAACAATAGGTGTCTCCTGGTAGCCTGTGGTGCTATCCAGTTAGCATTACACATTCGTTGCACTCAGAGGAACCACAAGTGTTTCCCTGGTAGCTCATTCCACTATCTTAATGGCATGATGGTCCATGAAAGCACACACCAGGGTTAAACTTGCGTTACAGTACTTAAATTAGCAAACGCCAGCCTCTTGTTTTAATGTGCTGCTGTTGCTGCTAAAACTACTGAGTGGAGCACAACATGGATATGAGCTGCATGAGATAACTGTAATGTTAACTCTGTTTTTTTCTTTTAACTCCTTCACTTGGGCATCAAAATACCACAGTTATGAGTAGAATCTGTCTACTCACCATATAGATCCAACAACACTATCAGTAGGTCTTGTTGGATCTAAAACATTCAAAATAAAAGAACTGGCAAAATACAAAAGCAATGTTGCCTGCAATTCTCTTATCATTTCTTTCCTCCTTCTGCTAGTCCTGTTCCTCTCTTACTCCCTGCCCCCAAATCAACAAAAAGAAAGGAGGTACAAATAAACAGCTAATTAGTCCAATAAAATAACCAGAGATAAAACAGCCACAGAGGTTGGTTGACCTACCACATGGTACTAGGTACATTTCACATGAACTTGAATAAAAAACACAATGCCTTATCATACCAAAGAGGGTATGCTTCTCACAGTTTGGCCTATACAGCACCAAATTAATCTCTACGAACTTGTATTCTTATATTGTTTTGCTTTTCAACATTAATATATGCAAATTTTCTGCCTTCATTTTACATTTGATCTTTTAAGGAGTATTCTGTGGATTAAGCTCTGGGCTGGTTTATTTGGGTTTTTACTTACATAATGTGTATATTGTTGCTGTCATGCCTTGTATGTCTGCCCATTCTTGTCAAATAATGTTTTTATAGGTAAAAAATTGAAAAATCCAGATACCCTTTGAATTATGTTCAAATTTCATGATGAACAGACCAACAGAAATGGTCCAAATTATTTGCAATTCTTGATCCATTAACTTCCATACAAAGTTGAAACTGTTTTTCCTTCTGTAAATTTTTGGTTAGTTTTTCTTCAAAAAACAAAGATATATATATATATATATATATATATATATATATATATATATATATATGTAAATTTTGACCTGTAAGAGTATTTTTTTTCTCCTTCTCTCTACAGGCTGGAATGCTGCAGTATTACAGAAGCAGGCTGTGAGGCTCTGGTCAAAGCTCTAGAATCAAACCCTTCACACCTTAGAGAGCTGAATCTAAAGTACAATAAACTAGGAGAGGAAGGAGACAAGAAGCTCACTGATCTGCTGGAGGATCCCCACTATAAACTAAAGAAACTATTGTGTGTGACTGAATAACTGTCTGTTTACACATAATACAAGATCAAGCACAGGAGGATAAACAGATTTAAAGGTTTTACTATATTTATCAACAGGCTATGTAATACGCTGCACCTGCAAGAACTAAATCTGGCTGGCAATAAACTAGGACACTCAGGAGTGAAGCAGTTGTCTGATTTACTGGAGGATCCACGAAGCAAACTTGAAAAACTACAGTGAGTTATTAGCTACGTGTTTTTTTTATTTTATTTATAATTTTTGCCAACCAAAGTAAGTAACTCAGACTATGTCAGTAAAGTTATTTAAGAAAGAAAACTGAAGAAACTAAAGGAAGGCAAAAAAAGAAAAAAAAACCTTTATTTCCTGATGACATCATGAACTTCTGTGTAAAATGGCAAAATCTGATTAAGATTAAACACTAGTAAATATCCCTTAAATTTGAATACTTGACTATGGTTGAGTATCCTTGGCTATATCACACAACACACTTTTGGTACCACTGCAGAACATCAGCGTGCGTATCTATCCAAAAGCCCTGAGCATCAATGTCCCTCAAATTTCTGAGCAATATGACAGCAATTATCCAGTCTCTTTACCAACAAAAAACAACCTGCAAGTGTTTCTGGGTCACCTTAAGTTCACTGTCCACTTTTATTAAAGGAACACTAATTAATTTCTTAATTACTGTTGTAACTTCCTGCTCATCATTGCTTACTATGATAAAAGTGTTAACCTAACCTGCTCATGTAATGAGTTTCCATTTTCTATGCTTGCATGTCTACCTTAGCTTATCTTCAACACACATTATTCATTTATGTTTACACAACTGTGCGCCCATGTCTGAGATTCTATTTTCTCTCCAAGGTTGACTAATTGTGATCTCACAGAGGAAAGCTGTGCAACTCTGGCCTCAGTTCTCGGCTCAGAGTCCTCAATTCTGAAATATCTGGTTCTGAGTTTGAATCAACTGGAGGATTCAGGAGTGAAGCTGCTCTCTGCTGGACTTGAGAATCCACACTGTAAACTGGAAACACTGAGGTGGGTTCATTACTTTCTCACCGTTGATGCAAATCTCTCTCACAGAAATGCACATAAAAGAGTTGTATATGTGGAAAACATTTTGACAAGGCTTGTGCATTGTGTTAACAGTCACAATGTGGGGCGTAAAAAATTATGGGTGGGATAAAACTTGGACCCTACTTTGATAAAAGCCCTTACCATGTTTATAACACAACCAGGTTAGCCTGCTTCTTTGCTTCTAAATTTAAATATCTTCACAACAATTTGAAATATAAACAAACTTCAAAATCTGTACTAATCTAGTGAAGCTAAGCTTCCTACAATATGGCATATACAATACAATGTGTCATACATCTCTGTGAAATACTGGGTCTGATCTCTGACATCTTGATTACATTTTTACTTCATCAGTCCACAGTATTTGCAAAATGTCTCTGGCTTATCCAGTTGTTGTTTTACATATTTCATATGTTGTGTTTTGTAATCAAGTCAAAAGTAAGGTTTCCTTCTGAGACATGGAGATCATATTGATGCAAGGTACACTACAAAGTAGAACAGTGCATCACCATTCCTGTGTCATCTAACCTTCATGCTAGTCTTTTGCTGTCATAGGAATTTGTCTTTCTGGCCAGTATATAAGCAGTTCTATCTGAGTGTTCTCTTGGACATTTCTTGCCTGGACTTCCACAGTTTCTGTTACCCTTTTCTTAATGACATTTCAGATTTTTTTCAGTTCATTTTCAAATTTCCTAGTCCGTAGTATATAACATTTTAGACAAGACAACACAACTGTGTGTGTGTGTGTGTGTGTGTGTGTGTGTGAGAGAGAGAGAGGGGGGGGGAGAGAAATTACATGGTTTCTAATATTTTACCATTTCTCTTCCAGGCTATTTGACTGTAATCTGACAGAGAAAAGCTGTGCAGTTCTGGCCTCAGTTCTCAGCTCAAACGCCTCAAGATTGAGAGCGCTGATTCTGAGTAACAATAAACTGCAGAATTCAGGAGTGAAGCTGCTTTCTGCTGGACTGGAGAATCCACACTGTAAACTGGTGCACCTGGAGTAAGATCATCTCACTATGCAGATGCAGATCATTCACACATCTGACAAAAACATACAGGAGAAGTTTTCTGAGTAATCTTTAAAATACATCTGTGTTTGAGTGTGTGTGTGAGTGTGTGTATAAGAAAAGATTACTATACATCAAGTGTCATAAATTGAATATTATATTTTTAAAAAGTCATTACCTGCTCTTTATTTACATATGGATAAAATTCATTAAGCATTAGGTATCATTTACTTACTGATGTGTAATTTAAAATTAGTAATTAACTACACTTTTAATTGACAGTTTTGTTTGTTATTAGTTAACTGTGCTAACTGGTGCTTATTACACTGATATGGACTGACGCGTCTGTTTACTCATGTAAAGAATTAACCTGGGAACTAACTAGTGCTTATGAGTTGGTCTGGTTATTTTATCTGTTAAGTCATCTACTGATTTTTCAACTCCTTCCTTCACCTCCACATATTCAGCTGCCTCACTGTGCTCAGAGCTGTCTTTGCATTTTACCATTAATTAACATTTATATTACTTAACCATTATATTTTTTGTGTGTGTTCCTCCTAGTGAAGTGATGGTCTTCACTACTATACTAATTATATTATGAAATCATGATTAAAAACAGTCAACAGCCTTTACTCACTGTAAATCACAGTAAAATCTTACATGGACAAACTGGCTAAGCTTAAATCATTGGCTGCTCATTCAAAGACATATGCAAAGATTTTCCCTTATTAGCAACAGTATGAAATATGCACATATAGACAATTTCTATGATGTTATTATCTTATATCTTAAATTTAAAGGGGCCAAAAGTGTTCTTTTTAGAGTGATACTATGAAAAGCCCACTCTTGAATCCCTGAACAACCCATCATTGGATGAGGTGTGCAAGTGTGAAGGACTTGTTATAAAGGAATTGTTCTTGATTTGTTTAGTTTATTGTGTAGGATCATTTAGATTAAATGTTAATTGATAATGTGTGCATTATTCACTTTACTCATAGACACACAAAAACAAGATATTGTAATTACTCAAGTCTTAATGATGAGTTTGTGGTCTAATTTGTAGTAAAAAGGATCACTTTACTGGAAGGGCTATACAAAGTTGAAATTAATTAATAGTAACAAATCAGTAAATTAATGAACAAATAATTAAAGGGACTAACTCATAACTATTTTTTTCAGTTCATTGTCAGTGTAATAAACAGATGTTAGTACACATTTAGTGAGTAATGAAGAAGCCAAACCCTAATGGTACCAGGGGAACCAGCCTGATGTCTGGAGAAGGGAAGTTAATTTCTTGCGCACAGGTACCAGACTCCTAGCCAGCCTGTAAGACAATGGGCTGATGCAGTTTTATAGCTAGACTGATGCCAAGATTAGGCCCAGCCTATACATGACAAGTGACAGGTGTGACAGATATGACCATGTAGAGATTAACAAGAACAGGTGGAAGAGAATGTTCTAAATACACAGTACAGGCACACACAATACAGAATACAATGACATGAAACACAGCACTAAACACATTACAGAGCAATACATTTCTACACTAATTAAACTATGAACTAAAAACCAACAAAACTATCAATTAAAGTGTAGTCAATTACTAATTACCAAGTAGCTCATTAATAAATGCTAAATGAATACTCAACTAATATGTAAACAATAAGAATTTAATTACTTATTAACACAATTATTAATTATTTTGCAACATTTTAATGTAAAATGTTATCCATTTAAGTTCAATAACTAAAGTCATTTGACCATAAGCCTGGACAAAACCACACTCTGCTTGCTATAGACAAATATATGGTGTTATGAGCTATAGGGAAAGATGTATTTTATACAGCAAGTTTGCATTGTTCAAATAAACAATATAAGTGAATCTATAAATCTCTATATTTTTATTAAAACAGCACATCTCATTTAGTTTCACTTGGTTATGCATCATCATTAACATCAAGGAGAAAGAAATCACTGAATATAACAACAATGATATTTTCTGTGGTGGTTTTGAAGCTGGCCAATAAATCCAACCAATAAAATATTGTCTTCTGGGCCAATTCCTCTGGTTGCCATTGACAACAGGCTAAACTTAATTGCATTCATTCGACTCCCTTTGAATCCCTAAGATCACATGTGAATGTACAAAATCATCAAAATGTTACTCAAGATTGTTGTGTATGATGTGGTGTATTTTCATGTTTTATGTACAAAAGACATTACTGATTTGGTTTAAAATAAAATGTGAGATTACACTATAATTTATTAAACATTTCAACATATTCCTGAGTACGAGCCATCTAAAACCTAAATATTAATGCAGTCTATCTAGAGAGAAATAGTATGAAAAGAGATGATAGTGTTCTGATATATTATTACTCTTCCAGTCTGTGTGAGTGTAATCTCACCGAGAAAAGCTGTGCAGTTCTGGCCTCTGCTCTCAGCTCAAAGTTCTCAAGTTTGAGATCGCTGGATCTGGGTTTCAACGAACTGGAGGATTCAGGAATGAAGCTGCTCTCTGCTGCACTGGTGAATCCACAATGTAAACTAGAGACACTGAGGTGAGATCACTTGCCAACATAGTATGTGTTTTGTATTTGTGATTCATTACTTTCTTATTGTGGCTATGAATCACCCACATACATAATATGGTTCTACAATATCATTTCTCTCCAAGGCTGTGTAGATGTAGTCTTACAGAGGAAAGCTGTGCAGTTCTGGCCCCAGTTCTTATATCAAACTCTTCAAGTCTGAGAAAACTTAACTTGAGTGCTAATAACCTGGATGATTCAGGAATTAAGCTGCTTTCTGCTGCACTGGAGCATCAAAACTGTAAACTGGAAGGACTGCGGTAAAATCATCCTTTTCTCACTATTGAAGCAGTTTACACACACATACACACACACACACTTTATCAGCCGGCTAACATGAAGCAGATTTCTATTACCCATGCTAGTAATATTTATAAAAGCTTTTGATGTTATAAAAAGCACAGCTCTAATTTGTAGTGTTAATTTAATCGTTTGAAAGTTTATTTCAGAAAAATAGGTGACTAATGGAAGACTAGCTGGTGCCAGGTGCTGTACATTGGCACAGAGATAGGCCTGGGTCATCCAATGGGTTTTATAGGCATGTGCCCAGGAGCCCGAACCACTAGGGGGCTCCCACAAGCAGTTATGAGAAAATCAAAACAGCTGTGGTTTTGGTGAAAACCAAAGTGGAAAAATGAACTGATTGGTCATTGTATTTCAGCCGATGATGATCCAAATACTCTCCACATCTTTCCTCAAAGTCTGCTTCATTTTATCCTCCAATCACTGCTTAGCAATCTAAGCATATTCCATTATTACTAATCATCATTAGCATGTTCCTTGAAATGTACATTAAATTTGAAGCTCCAGATATTCAAATGATGTGCTTTGAGGACATGTGAAAGCAAGCACAATGTTGTCAACTTGGTGCTGCATACAGTGGTTTTAAGCTAACTTAGCTAATGAGGGCCTTACAGAGTCTATTGATATTTTAAGCTAACCATATAGAAGAAAGCCATCTATGGTATTAACTAAAGCATGTCACATAAATGGCATGCCTCTCCTTTATCATGCACAAAATATAGCATCCAAACTATAAGCCTTTTCCAAAATATACTTTCTGTTGTCCAAATTGTTCATAGTAAACTTTCCTACTCTTTTCTATGTCAGAAAATTATATATGTGTAAGGGCTGAGGTTTAAGTTGCAATTAAATTGCAACAATCAATCAAAAGCACTGCTGTTTGTAACATGCAGAATTTGGGGCTTTTGTCCTTTCAGCTTTATCAAAAAAGTTCAGAGACCATGATGGCAGTCAAGCTTTTGGCCCTTGACAAATTGTATTTTGAGTGTAGGAAACACACTAGAATTATACAATTAGTGCTTGAGTGACAAATCATGAAGTATCAATGTTTCAATGAAAAAAGTAGGGTTTCCCTAGTTAAACCTGAATATTTCCAATGTTTGATAAAGAGTTTGAGAACCTTACTTTGTAAAATGTTTATATATATATATATATATATATATATATATATATATATATATATATGCTTCTGCATTTATTTATCTTAGCAAAAGTTTTCAAATGTAATAAAGTTCATATTTTGACTTTAATCTATATGTGCACATTTAAGTTGGAGTGTAAGCAGAAGGATTTTTTTCTCCTTCTTTCCACAGGCTGGCATACTGTTTTTGTACAAAGAAAGGCTGTGCTGATCTGGTTTTAGCTTTGAAACTAAACCCCTCACATGTGAGAGAGCTAAATCTGGGCCACAATAATATAACAGACTTAGGAGTGAAGCTGCTTTCTGTTCTACTGGAGGATCAACACTGTAAACTGGAGAAACTGAAGTAAGAGTTAGTCTCTTTACACTCTCTCTCTCTCTCTCTCTCTCTCTCTCTCACACACACACACACACACACACACACACACACACACACACAAAGCATACTCACACAAGACACCCACACACACACACAGATATCCCATACTTGTAATAACAGGACATGTTTCTGGAACATTTTTCTGACATCAGTTTATATGAGTTTTGGAGCTACAGTGGCAGGAAAATGTATTTATAGTTTTCTCCAGCATTTGGTTTTCTCTATAATTGAATATATGTCACAGTGAACACTCAGAAAATTTTATATTAGACAAAGAGAACAATATGAAACATAAAACACAACATTAAAATTATTATTGTTTTACAAGTCAACTATGTAAAAACTCAAGCAACAGATGAACCCAAATTTAACTGAATATGAGATTCAACCCTGCTGAATACAGACTCACTAATATTAAAGTTTACCATCAGAAACCTGATGTTTTGCTGCATCAGAACCTGGATATCTTGATTTTATTTGAAGGAATCATAAATTATGTTCTGTATCCAAGAATTTCTTATGAGAATGATTGTTCATCTGTCCATGAGCTAAAACTGAAATGTAATAGGTTTATGATGCAAGACTGGGATAAAACAAGAAAAATCTAGATCAGAACTGCTGAAAAGAAACAAAATTTTTGTTTTGGTTTGACCTAGTTAAAGGGCTTCCAAGAAGCCTCCAGTGAGGAGTTTATGCTAAAACACCTACCATTATATTTGTTCTATAACTATATTAGTTATATCATGGTTGGTTTAAATGTCAGATAACTGCTTCTTGAATACCATGCATATATACTTCCCAGGCTGTGGAATTGTAAACTCACTGAGAAAAGCTGTGCAGTTCTGGCCTCAGCTCTCAGCTCAAACTTCACATGTCTGAGAGAGCTGGACCTGAGTAGCAATATGCTGCAGGATTCAGGAGTGAAGCTGCTTTCTGTTGGACTGGAAAATCCATACTGTAAACTGGAGACACTGAGGTATGATCATTCACCCACCTACAATGTGTTCTGTATTTGTGATTGTGGGTGCATGTTCTAAAATCATTTCTGTTCTAGGCTGTGCAAATGTAATCTTACAGCAGAAAGCTGTGCTGTTCTGGCCTCAGCTCTCAGTTCAAACTCAGGCCTGAGAGAGCTGGACCTGAGTAAGAATGAACTGCAGGATTCAGGAGTGAAGCTGCTCTGTGCTGGACTGGAAAATCCACATTGTAAACTGGAGAAGCTAGAGTAAGATTATCACACTCACACATCTCACACACATCTACACAAACATACTATATATAGCAATGTGAGTGTGTTTTGAATAATCTTAGAAATGTGGAATCAGCTGTTTCAATGATATAAAATCATGTTCAAAAACATATATATTAGAAGGTTACAAGGTTACAAATCCACTGCAGGAAAGGTGAAGGAATTCATAAATTTTAGATAGACTGAACAGAGCCTTACATTGAAAATTAAGTTGCTAGTAAAGCCCTGGGTTCCAGTGGGGCTGTGCCTGGCAAGGGAGACTTTCTTGGTTCCTTCACTCTTTTTCTTTTTTAATCTGTGCTCAACTGTGTGTGGTGCGCTGTGCATGTGTGAAGTTTTTCTTCATCTTTCTGTAGGTTGGAAAAGAGCAGTATCACAGATGAAGGCTGTGCTGCTCTGGCTTCAGCTTTGAAATTAAACCCCTCCTATATGAGAGAGCTGAATCTGGACTGGAATGAACTAGGAGAATCAGGAGTGAAGGAGCTCTCTGATCTACTAGAGGATCCACATTGTAAACTGGAGAAACTAGAGTGAGTTGCTGAGTTACTGTCTTGTTACACACATGGAGTAAATACATTTTCTAAATATTTGATGTGGGGCACACAAACACTGTTTTAACATTTAGAATTCATTCATACTTTGTGTGCATGTGAAAGAGAGAGACATGGTAAAGAAAGTTCAATACTGTGAAAAGGGTCAAGTGAAACCACAGTTTTTAACTATTAGGATAGGATAGGACTGTGGTTAAATAGTCTTTACTCACTGTAGTATGCTGTCAGTTCTTATAGAAACTAACATTAACATAAATATGAGGTAAGCAATCATGTGTATTGTTTAATATTCAAAAATGTTTCCCCCCTGTTTGTAGTAATGGAATGGGTCATGTCCTAATGATTTAGCTATGAGTTGTCTAATTGGTGGTCATGTTCTCTACAGTGGTGCCTGTGAGAGATAATGCTTCCTAGCTGCCCCCCACACCCATCACCAGGTCCCCTCAAAATATAATTCTGACTACTCCTCTGATACACACACATATGCATGCACATATACATGCACACATACACAAACTGATGTGCTAATCAACTAATCAGCATGCTCAGTGAAAAATAACGGTTGTGCTTTGTGTGAGAGTTCAAACTGAAGCCAGGAAAGAGTGTCAATCATTTTCATTTTCATTTCAAATAAATCCACAAGCAAAATATTAAGTATCAAAATATCCAACATATATTACAAATACAAATAACAGCATTTAAATCAAAATTAATTTTTCAAAAAGACCACTCATTTTCTAATATTCTGATATAAATGTATTACTTATTTTGCCAGTTTCTGCACTACTGCTTTTGGATTCTTTCTTTTGCCTCTGACTTTTGGCAATTTTTAACATGGGAGGATTTTAGAAGAGGACGTTCAATTGCACTTTCTATTGGTCAACTGATTTGGAGTGACAGGTCTTCTGAACATACAGCCACACCCATTCCATGAGCTGTGTTCTGCCTCAAACATGGAGGAGTGCATTGAACTGAGAGTAGATTGTCAGAAAGGATTGCACCGACACAAACATCAAGCTGTGTAAAAAAAAATACTTTGGAAATTGAAGTATCTTAGATAAACTTAGCTGCTTATTGAAGCTATACAAACATTTGGCTTTGCAGCTGCTAGCACAAACTAGCCTAGCAGTGTCCACTAAAGGGCTAACTAGGCAAGCTTTGCTACCCTTTAAGTCAGTGTTTCTTAATCCTCCTTCTGGCAACCTACAGCTCAGTATAATTTCAACCATTCCTTGCCTTGTAACACCTGATCCAGCTCATTAACTAATTACTGAGCCCTCCATGCACTGATCAGGCATGAGATGGTAATGTTTAACCACTACAAAGAGAATAAAGTTGGTATGTCATGATTGGCCATGATTCGGGGATTATGAAGGCTCTTATATCAGGGTTGTTGTTGTTGTTTTGTTTTTGTTTGTATTTTTTTTTGTATTTACACAAAGAATCCCTCCATGTCAATCACTGAAACAGGCTTTCTATTTCAGCAAGCCAGTTTACAGAATGTGCTGCTTCAAATCTCTGCCTTTACATTAATACAGTGATTAACTGTAGATATTTAAGCAGGAATGTATATGTCTATCTATCTGCACTGCAATAGATTGTGACCTGTCCAGGGTGTATCCTGCCTTCCACCCAATGACTGCTGGGATAGGCTCCAGCTCCCCCCACAACCCAGAAGGATAAGCGGCTTAGAAGAAAAGTGTGTGTGTGTGTGTGTGTGTGTGTGTCTGTGTGTGTGTGTGTGTGTGCAGGTAGTTTCATTACGAGTATAGCTCACCTAGTTAGCAGTAGACAACACTGCTAGGCTAGCTATCACTACCATTTGAAAACTTTAAGGTAAAAAGTTCATTCACAAACAACTAAGTTTATGTTAGTTAATGCCAAAAATAACAGTTATATCCTTCTGTACAGCTTGTCACAGAACCCATAAACATGTTACATTAAGAATTTAAAAGGAAAAAGACACTGATCATAATATAAGAAATGCCAGTGCAGTGCTGCACCCAAGGCAGCACTCAGTATGACATGTTCCAACATGCTGGGGGCAGTTCATGTGAGTGTCTATGTGTCAGAAGACCTATCACTCCAAATCAGTTGACCAATAGAAAGTGCAGGTGAACGGGTGGTGATTGGTACAGTGTAGTGGGTAACACCTCTGCCTTCTTCGCTGTGGACTGGGATGCAACCCCCTGCCTGGGCAAGCACCCTACACTATACCAACAAGAATCCTAGAGCAAGACTCTTAACACTACCTTTGCCTACCTGTGTAAATATAATCAAATTGTAAGTCACTCTGGATAAGAGTATCTGCCAAATGCCATAATTGCAAATGTGAACATCCTCTTCAAAAGTCTGCCAAAAGTCAGAAGCAAAAGAAGCAATTCCAGAAGCAAAAAACATAAGAAAAATCAGGAAATTTAAAAAAATAAAGCAACTAGTAACAGGGGTAATACATTTATTTTAAAATGAGTAGTAATCTTTTTGAAAAAATAAGCTTGATTTAACTGTCATTATTTGTATTTGGACATTTTTGTACTCAATATTTTGCTTGTGGATTTTAGCATTGACTTGAAACTTTTGGCACAAATTTAACTTCATAGAAACCCAGAACAATTAAATTTTTTTTTAAATCTAAAACAAATATATAAGACTTTTACAATATCTAAATGTAATTGTTCTGTGTTTGTGACTATTTCTATTTTTACACTAAAGCACTTTAAACTCTCACACAAAACACAACAAGACAAATGTCAAGTAATAAAATCAATATTATCAGAGTATGTTAATTAAATATATTATAAAATAGACAGTAATGTAAAGAAAGAAAATAGTGTAATATAAAAACAAACAAATACAAAATGGAAAATGAAAAAAGGATAACAGAAACAGTAAAAGACATTTAACCATCAGTGTAATGAATGATTAAAATAATCACAGCAAGTTACTTAAACATAAATTTTGAGTTATTTTGTAAACAATTTTATTTGTAAGCTAATAGCTGGTACCTGGTGAACATCAGAGGATTTCATGTCTTTGGCTGATAAGAAACAAAAGCTGCCTCGCTACATTATGTAACATGGAGGGAGACAAAGAGGCAGGATGCAAGTGCAAGTCCTTAGCTTTATTGAAATCTATGACAAACAAAAGATCCACAAAGATAACAGAACAAAGAAAGAATACTATAGAACAAAACACAGAAAGAAAACAAAAGTCTAAAATGCAAAACTACAATGAAGAAACCATGAAGCCTGAGAAACAAAATCCTGGGCACAAGACAAACAACCAGGAGTATAAATGCACATGGAACAATCCAGAAACGTTTGGGGATTATGAGATGGTGGGGCTACAGATTATGCACAGGTGAGACAGATGACAAGGAGGCAGGACAAATGAGGAGACAGAGACCAAAACAATAATAAAAACACCTGGCAAGACAGACGAGGAAAGGTAAAGAAAGGCAGACAGAGGCAGAAACAAAGACATGGCAAGACAATATGATACACATACCTAGTTCTTTGCTCTTGAGATCTTTAAGAAGTATTTTATTGTTGTTGTTGTTTCGTTTGTGTGTGTGTGTGTGTGTGTGTGTGTGTGTGTGTATGTTTAATTTTATTTTACAGAATATTTGGTTGCACTATTTTAAGGCTCCCAACATACAGACTTCAAAATTCATGGATGAGCACTGAATAACACATTTCTAAAGCAATACCTGGGATGTTTATGAACAGCTAATGCGTGTTTTCACAATAATACATATGTCTTAAGAAATAAATCATATTGTATTGACATAAGGACTCTTGAGCTAAAGACATTTGTTCCATTGATGACCCTGCTCTGAAACATATTTCCCAAGCAATGTAGTTTATAAGCCAGAGGCCTAGTGTTACTGCATATTTAAAGATTGACCTTTCTTTTGTGACTGTATGTCAATGTCTAAATACTCTGTTTTGTTTTGTTTTTGTCTTACAGTGCCTGGCCACATCGCACTTAACGGGAAATGTTTAGGTAGGCTACATGCATGGAAAACATCATCAATAGTTCTTTCAGTAACAAACAAAATGACATGTTGACATCATGACCAATGACCCAACACTCAGAGAGTTATGAGAAGAGTGTGAAATCATACAGAAGTTACTGCTTTTTCCTACCAATGCTTCTCTTCTCTGTGACCCAGAAACTGATTTTTTGATGTCATCTTACTGGATGGGACATGTGAAGTGGCTTCCAGCAGAAGATGCATGAATGTGTGCTGCCCAGGAAGACTTCTGCAGATTTTAAAGTGAAATCACTGCACACATTCCCAGAGGGGATGGACAACATGGATCATTCCAACTATGCAAATTCTGTATTTTGTTTGTATTTGTACAATCTTAGTATTTTGTGTATATTGTAACTGATTGACAGTAAAATCAAAATCACACAGTAGAAGACCATGCACAAATTTAAGAGGGCTGGCCCCACATTTACTGCGATTGGCTACCAGGAGTATTAGAAGACACCACCTGTTCCAGAAACTTCTCTCTGGAAAACATCTATTGGCTACAGAACTGAACTGTATTTTTATGGATACTCATAGAATCACTAGACACCTGAGAATATTTTGCAGTACCATAGGCGTGTCTAGCCCCCTTTTAGGGAGTGCTCAATGCTGGGCCTCATTAGGGTTGGAGGCTGGCCTCACTGGGTGCTCAGCACCCCTAAAGCTCTGATCCTAGAACTGCCCCCGCACAGTACTGTATCTCTGGTGAACAGGAGTTCCAAATTAACCTTTCATTTCCATCTAGTTCCAATTCAATCAATGACTTTCATTACATTATTTATTCCCTTAAACTAGAAACCAAAATAAATGAACTGTATTTTTATGGATATTCATATGCATGAATTACAATGTAAATACTGCAGATTGTAGATTGCAAACTGCATTGTTCTGCCTTGGTAATGTTTTCTTTGTGTGTATGCAGTAAATATGAGGTTTCGTGATGGTCTGCATTAAGTATTCATTCATATTTATCTCTGCATAATTAGGGAATTGACACTGAATACGTCAAGGCACATTACTGCAGAATAAAAGTGGTTTTGTTTCTAAAGCTCATCAAAGCTTGTGGCCAAACCAGCTCAGCTGATCCTTCATGATGTCTGTGGTGATGCTAGAGCTATTGTACCTATTAAGCAACTTAAATGGCTTCTTAGCACTCTGCAACTGCCATAACACAATACATGATTAAATCAACTAGGTCCAATGCCATACAAAAAGTACATCACTACTGTCGGAACAAAACTTGGTATCTCCATTTTTATCATTTTTCAGTTTTTGATATAATTTGAAAATGTCCCTTTACATTGTGTGTAAATTGCATGATAAATGAAGCAAAAGAAATGTCCCAAAATTACTTGGAAAAAAGTCTGGTTCCAATGACTTAGTAAACTATACATTAATAGTAAACTATGTTTTTTCTTCTCCTGTAAAGTATTTTGGAGATATGAGATTTTGTTCCAAGAGCAGCGATATGTCAGAAACAAGCTACAAGATAAATGTAGTTTTTGCTATAACATTATTTCATTTGTTTTGACTTGTAATTGGAGAGCGAAGGTGAAGTGCACAGGGGATAGTCACTGCTATAAACATTGCACGTGGAATTATAAAACATTAGTCAAACAGTGATCTTTGTAATGTACATTAACCCATAAATGGCTATGGGCCCACCAGCAGGCCCAAAGTTTTAGTATACACTTCTACAACCTGAGAAAAGCTTAATCAGTTTGCACTGAAGTCCCTGTAGTTACTGAATAATAAGCCTTAGTGTGTAATAAGCCTGGGATTTTAAGGGGTGGATGTTACTTAGTTGACTGTTTCTTAAAGTTAGCTTATGACTGTACATTACAGCATCTAGCTTGCTAATATTATCAGCAAAGGAGCTAAGAAGCTAAGCACTTTAGTTCTCAAATTTTCTGCTCCATATTTAATGACTATGGCAATAATATAATCTTGTTAAGTTAATTAAACCAAAAACAATCCTGGGGCAGTCGTGGGCTGGAGATTAGGGAACCAGCCTTGTGACAGTAAGGTCGCCGGTTGATCCCCTGAGCTGACAGTACGTGACTGAGGTGCCCTTGAGCAAGGCACCTAACCCCCAACTGCTCCCCAGGCGCCATGGATAGGGCTGCCCACCTCTCGGGGCAAGTGTGCTCACTGCCCCCTAGTGTGTGTGTGGTGTTTCACTGCACGGATGGGTTAGATTGCAGAGGTGAAATTGTGGGACTAATAAGGGTCACTTAATCTTGATCTTAATGTCCATGATTGCATGATGGTGACTGGGGGAAACCTGCAGTACTGCAAGTGATTTTAGCTATTCCAAACATGACCGTTTATTTTTAGTGTTGTCTGTCCTTAAATAAGAGAGACACAAAACTGGCCTCCTGGTTCTTGTTCTGATTCTTCAGCTGATGAAGAGGGGTCCAAAAATCTTTAGGAAAAAGTGCATTTAAAAAAGAGCTTATGTTGCTTTGAAATTCAGAGTTGTTATACTGAGCTGAGGTAAGGATGATGTCGGTATGATTATGAGGAACTGATAAGACATTGTGTATACTCAGGGGTATGAGTTAGTCTGATGAAAAAGGCCCTTCAGACTTGCTTTAGATAGGGGAAAACACAGGTTATGACACTGAGGGCCCTATTTTCTGGCAGCCAGAAGTGCACTCTAGTGGTATAAATGTAATTTGATAGTTTGTTGCTCAGCTGCATTTTTTTTTCTTCCAGGTTTGGAAGGCCGCTGTCAAGCACAAGTTGGAGGTTTGCTTACTCAAACACAGCCACTAAAGCTGGCAATTAACAGATAAGCGCAATCATGTGTGTTTAAGTAGGTAATTCACCAAACTGTACTGGACACTTGCCCTCCGGAACTGGAGTTGCGCACCCCTGCTTTAAAGGATGATTTTGCATACATTTAGCTTATTACTAGCTCAATTTGTGCTTTGGATTCAAGTAGATAATAGCATAATCCTTATAATTAATTTATTTTAGTTCTAACTAATTGGGTAGATTGGTCCACGTAGTATGAATTGGATTTCTCTTCTTTTTCAGCATTACATGGTTACTGAAACATGCTGCTGAGAGTTGACATGACGCTACATTTTATGTTCAATATGTTAAATTCAGCAAATAAACAGTAATTGTTCATTAAAATCTTGAATGTGAAGAAGTGTGTAATCTGTAGAGGATTTGTTAACTTATTTCCACTCATCAAAACATGTAATTTGAGCAGATGCACCCAAACCTTGGCATAAAACTGTACACTTTATTAATTCAATGAAACTGACTTAAATATAACCATATAAAACAGCTGCCTATACATGAAAGCCTACGTATTATAAACAAACTCCTGATTATCTCAGGATATTAAAAACTTATTTTGAATTAAAAATGAAAATATATCCTACAAAGTCTAACTTCAGACAGATATAACCAGCAGATGTTGCAGCAATATAGTATTCCCAGTGTTACAAAACACTTTCAAAACATTTTCTGAAACTAAAAGCAGTTGACTCAGAAATCCATATAACAGAAAGAGGAAGCCAGCAGGGTCATTCTTTGTATGTAGTGGATTTTCTCATATAAAGTAAAGCATATATATGCTTTCAATGGGTTTATTTCTATGTTTTGCTTAATTTACTATATAAAAACAAATATATGAATGGAAAATTTTTTTTAATGCATTTAACCACTTTTTTACCACTTTTTCTCATTCTTCAGACCTACTCAGTAGATTCTTTTTTGTTTGTTTTTGGTATTTCACATTTTTTGTCTTTTTGTCTTCAATATTACTTTTCACACTGTGTTTCTGCTGTTTAAGCAAACACTCAGCCTACAATGACACCACTTCCATGAAGTGACTTCACGTTTGGTGGGAATGGCATACTTGTTAAACTTGGTAAATCCTCACACTCCTCTTGATTTTTGATGTTCTTGATATTTCACCATTAAAATCCACTTTTTAAATATGTTTATGAGATATAGTTGTTTCAAATATATTCAAGATCAAAAATTACTTACACCCTGGCATTACAGAGGGTATAGAAATGCAACCAAAAAAAAAACTGTTTTAAATAATTATTTCAACCATTTTCTACATTTTGTAATGATTTCATTCTGTTTTTGTGTAAGTACCAAAAACAGACACAATTTGAATTTGTTCTTAATTAATGTGGCTTGTTTTGACATTACTCATAGATATGAAACACAAAAAAGTTTTTTTTCTCATGCTCGCACCAGAGCCCCTCCCTTCCACTGGAGATGATGTGTTATCATAAAGAAACCAGAATGATTCCACATGCTGCAACTTTTAAAAATCCCTCCAGCACTTCCTCCTTATAATGTACAAACTAGTTCAAAGTGGAACTGAAGTTTGCTGCAGCGTTAATTTTGTTAACAGGACATCATAAATAGTATTCAAAGAAAAGCTTAGATGTTTTAGTCAGAAGATGGAAAGTTTCAGTCCAGCTCATTCAACTTCAATCCAGAATATCATCACAGCTCAGACAGGAGGAAACATCTGTGCTCCTGTCATTGACGGAACTACTATTCAAGGCGCACTGACTATTATAACTAACATACATGGGGGTAAGTCACAGTCTGAGACTTTTTAAAGCTCTTAAATTTTGTGTCTAATGTATATTTTGTATATACAGCTCCCAGACCCATGAGGTGGTCTTCACAGCAGTTAATTCTGTTCCTCATACATGGCTAAAGTTAAAGAGTGACCATGCCTATGTAGTCACCGTACCAAGGCTTTGTCTGCTTAAAACATACTTTTATCTATTAGCATTCAGAATCAGGTGACATGAGTCAAATTAAGTATGGTTGTATGTTTGGTGTATAGTGCTTATCTCTGTTTTTGATTAACTTTTGATTTTTAGACATTTTCATTTAGCTTAGATTAACAGCAATGTAATACACTTCATGAATAATGTTCTATTTATATCCTATCAAGCTCAGGAAGCTTCAACTTTCAGCAGCAGCGCACTTCAGGATGTTAACTCTGCTCTCACTGAAGGTAATGTCTGTTTGTAGATATCATTGCTTACGCACTATTTACTGCAAGGTTTTGAAAATGGAACATATGTTACTGCTCTAGTGTTAACAGGGGTTTTATGTTTCACTTTTTGCATTATTTTATGACTGCAGTGTGCCATGTTGCACACACCAGCTCATGCCATAAGAAATTAAAACATGACACACTGTAAAATGTAGCAATTGCACTAACTTAATTTTTGAGGGTTTACTTTACTCATCTGTTACACTTATTAATGCAAATCTATTAACACACTCTATTTCTTGTATAATCCTTAGTTACTTAGGTAAAGTTCGTTGAGATCAATTAATTTGTATAAGTCCTACAGGCTGAAGAGTATTTTGCCTAAGTTCACACAACTTGAATACTACAGACAGTTGGAATAACTTAATCTGACAAATTCAAACCAACTCAAAAATGAATTGTTGAGATAGTAACTCAGTCATTTTGAGTAAAATCATTTGTTAGCATATTTTGAGTTAAACACTTTATTCAAGTGTTTTATTTTCACTATTTTTATTTAAGTTGACTTTACAGGTAGGTACAGACAGGGTTGGGTTAACATTCAAATGATTTGGACTTCTTATGCTTTTCATGTAACTTTAGACAACTTTGGACATTCAAATGGGGTCTTTACTTGATGAAAGCTTGGTCAATACAAACTTGAGTAAAACTTGCATTAATCCTATTGGCTCTAAGGGGCATGTTTGTGGGTGTGTCTTTCCACCTTGTTTAACCTACCTTCTCTGTGCAGTTATTCTCCCCAGCCTACCTTCCCTTGGGTGCATACTTATTTTCAAAATTTTTTGGAGCTCTTCTAATCTCAGTCAGTACTGACTATAGATCAGTGCTGAGTAAGCTGAGCTGCCATGACCCCACCTGCTGAGTGTGGTTCTTAACACTTTAGACCACTTCTGCATTCTGGGCTGAACTGTCAGTATTGGGCGACATGATCTAGAGCAGTATTAAGTTAAACTGTTCAAGGCCTTCTTGTCAAAAATGTTCTGCCATTCTGTATAAATTTGTTAAAATTAAAACCTAGTTTAACTGTTAATGAAAGAAACTGAGTTAGCTGAACTAGAGTGGCTAGACTTGTGTAAAGGCAGTAAATATAAGTTAGAATTACTTAATTGTATTGAGTTAGTACCACTATTATATAAGTCCAAAGTACTCAATCATTTTAAGATCAAAGGAGTGATTTACTCGATTTACTTAAGTGTATACAACAATAAACAAACGTGTTGTTCATACTCAGTTCAGGGAATTACTCACGGTCAAATGATATGAGTAACCTTAAATGGTTTAAGGAAATTGGTTCCTTAAACCATTTGAGTTTACTGAACTCAATAGGTTTTACAGTGCATGAATGAAAGCCAGTACAAGATGCAGTGTAAAAAACAGTCATGTCAACAAAAGTGATACTTTCAGGCTTTGGAAGGGTGTGAGTGAGATCAGAGTACTCCCTCCTCTCAGGTTTCTTATCACAAGTGACTGTAGGAAAAGAAAGAAAGGAATTGAACACATAATCTCTGAATGACTGGGTCGCAGTGAGACAGAATTGAAACTCTGGAGCTATGAAATTGCTAAAACTTTTAAAGACACATCAAAATGTTTAATAACACAATTTATTAAATACTTCTTGACACTTTGTTCTCTGGGTAAATTTATTTCAGCACAGGTAACTGTTCTTTATAAAAACACAGACAATACTTTCTATCTAAGCATGAGGAAAATTCCCATTTCTTTTACACACATGCAAAACAAAAAGATTTAAGTATGTTTTTTACTCCTGAGTGGTGCAACATTGTAACTGCCTGATCTTCAGTAGATCATGTGCCTAACACCAAAGCTATCTGCAAACAGAAGCCTCAGAGGAGGAAAGCACTCCACCCCTACCGCAGCCTGGGGCCTGTGAATAGAGAAGTGGGAAACTGAGTTAAAATTCTGCAGTTAAGCAATTGCAGCCTTCTATGGAGGACCATATTCAACCATATTCAGTGTTGTTCTTAGAAGGCTAAATGTAAATTGTACTATTGACCTGAGATGCAGAACTAAAATATTAGCTAGGAGAACTTTATTGAGCTCTAAAAGAAGAAATGCATCTGGTTCCTTTAAAAAGTCTTAATGCCTTAGATTTAACTTGGCCTGACCTTTAATTATTTACAGTATAGAAGGAGGCTGTGGATAATAATGTATAATGTCTAACAACCAAAGAACCGACTGATAATATAAAAATCATATGTTTGCATATATGTTTAGTGATTTTTTTTGTTAATCCCACTGTTTATTGATTTTTTTGTGGAAATAACCATGAAATCCATTACCAAAAACTTCCAAACATTAAAATATTTCTTTGTTGTCTGCCTATTAGAATCAATCACTGCATACAAACAACACCACAAGTCCATACTGGAGAAGAAATACAGCAGTTTTAAAGAAAGACTCTCATATCATGGAATCTCAACATCTCTGAATGAGATCTACACGGAGCTCTACATCACAGAGGGTGGGAGTGGAGAGGTCAACAATGAACATGAGGTAAGACAGATTGAAACAACATCCAGGAGAAAAACAACACAAGAGAGACCCATCAAATGCAACGACATATTCAAACCTTTACCAGGACAAGACAAACCCATCAGAACTGTCCTGACAAGAGGAGTTGCTGGAATTGGAAAAACAGTCTCTGTGCAGAAGTTCATTCTGGACTGGGCTGAAGGGAAAGCAAATCAGGATATCAGTTTCATATTTCCACTTCCTTTTAGGGAGCTGAATTTAATAAAGGAGAGAAAACTTAGTCTGTTGCAACTTCTTCATCGCTTCTTTCCAGCAACCAAGGAATTTCCATTAGTAAACAGTGATGCCTACAACATCCTGTTAATCTTTGATGGTCTGGATGAATGTCAACTTCCTCTAGATTTCCAAGACAATGAAATTTTGTCTGATGTAACAGAATCAAGCTCAGTAGATGTTCTGCTGACAAACCTCATCAATGAGAATCTGCTTCCTTCTGCTCTCCTCTGGATAACATCTCGACCAGCAGCAGCCAATCAGATCCCTCCTGAGTGGGTTGACCAGGTAACTGAGGTACGAGGATTCAGTGACCCACAGAAAGAGGAATACTTCAGGAAAAGGATCAGTGATCAGAGTCTTGCTGAAAAAATCATTACACACGTAAAGTCAACAAGAAGCCTCTACATCATGTGCCACATACCGGTCTTCTGTTGGATTTCAGCCACTGTTCTAGAAAGGATGTTGAATGAAAACAAAAACATCCCCAAGACTCTGACTCAAATGTTCACATGTTTTCTAAATTTTCAGATAAAACACAAAGCCAAAAAGTACCATAAAAGATGCGACACTGATCTAACTAGAGAGAATATTTTGGCATTAGGAAAATTGGCTTTCCAACAGCTGGAAAGAGGAAACCTAATCTTCTATGAGGATGACTTGAGAGAATGTGGCATTGATGTCAATGAAGCATCAGTGTACTCAGGAGTGTGCACCCAGATCTTCAGAGAGGAGTTTGTGCTCCACCTGGAGAAGGTGTTCAGCTTTGTGCATCTGAGTGTTCAGGAATTTCTGGCTGCTTTATTTGCATTTCTTTCCTTCATCTCTGACAACAGAAATGTGCTCCTGGAGCAAGCCACTGGATATTTTGGTTTTGGACAATTGGTTAGAAGGTCACAAATATCAGGCTTCCTCAACTGTGCAGTGGACAAGGCTTTAAAGTGTGAGAATGGACACCTGGACCTTTTCCTCCGCTTCCTCCTGGGCCTCTCATTGGAGTCCAATCAGACTCTCTTACGAGGCCTACTGCCACAGACAGCATGTGACTCTCACAGCAAAGACGAAACAGTGAAGTACATCAAGGAAAAAATCAGGGAGAATGCCTCTCCAGAGAAATCCATCAACCTGTTCCACTGTCTGAATGAACTGAATGATCATTCTCTTGTGCAGGAAGTACAAATGTACCTGAACAGAAGAGGCAATAGTCGTCTAAGTGGAGCTAATCTCTCTCCTGCTCAGTGGTCAGCTCTGGTGTTTGTGCTATTGAACTCAGAACAAGAGCTGGATGAATTTGATTTGAATAAATATGACAAATCAGATGAATGTCTTCTGAGACTGCTGCCAGTGGTCAAAGCATCCAGAAAAGTCATGTAAGTACTTTCATGTTTAAATGAGTTGTGGCACTGTTTGCTATTTTAATAAAAAAATCAGAGTAAGGCACTACATTAGTTAACTAGAAGAGTGGATTTCCTGAAGAAAATGTACAGTTATTGTGCAGCTTAAGTGATTTCCAGATATTTGCCAGGGTGTTAGTTTGGTATATTATGTGGTTTCTAAGGTTTTGATATGGGGTTACTATGGTGTCCAAAGTGGTTGCTTGGGTGTTGCTAACTGGTTGCTATAGTACCCCAGATAGTTGCTTAGGTGTTGCTAGATGGTTGTTATGGTGTTACAGATAGTTGCTAGGTTGTTGATAGGGGGTTGCTATGGTCTTCAAGGTGGTTGCTAGGGTGCTGTTAGCTGTTTGTGATGGCACCCCAGGCGGTTACAAGGGTGTTGACTATTATTTATTGTCATTGGGCCTCATTCACAAACATTCTTCAGAAGAAATTTCTTCTTAAAACCCAGTTTTCACAAAGATCCAGACATTGATGATATTGGTGAATGAGGCCTATTGTGAATTTAAATAATTCTTATTTATTACAATATATTTAACTCACAAGTCAACAAACAGCTAATAACTAATTTATATAAGATATATATATATATATATATATATATATATATGTGTGTGTGTGTGTGTGTTAACATGTCTTATGAAAACATAACACCTCATTCCAAAGCTTACTACTAAATCATACTGTAGTTTAGATAGAGGACAAAACACAGGGAAGGTCATGCTTCTGCTGTGAAAAGTGCTCTTTATTACACATACCAGAAACTGATGGGAAGTCACCATTAGCCACACACTTCACCCGACAGTGACCCACACAAAAAACCCCACATACCCCAACACAGAATAATACAAGCAAATCAACACAACAGGTCCCTTTGTTGGATGGTGTGCGCATACTGTGAGCCTTTGTGTGTGGCCTCCAGAGTCTCTCTGAGCCAGTTCCAGCCAGTAGCAGGATGCTGCAATATGATTTTATTGATCAAGGCATTATTAATTGCTTGCATAATAGTTAATTAATTACATAGAAGCAGGTCTTAAGATTAATTGTTACAGCATCACTTGATCACTTTTTATATTCTTAATAACTTATACATTATGGATTTAAATTTTATCAATTATTCACTAAAATGTGTTTAGATATTTTATTCAGTACCAGTTGCAATTTCAGTGGTTCCCTCAGTGATGAACCCGCCATAGAACATAGTCTTCTTTACTTTAGCTCTGTGAAGCTTGGGTGTAGTTTATATCTCTTCCTTCTCATAATTTCCCCTAGCTGTGTCTCATCAGTGTTCTGTGTATGTATTTCCCTCTGTTCTCTATGTGGCATTGTAAATCTCATTTATCAGTTGCTAATTTTATCTTGGATTAACTTACTTAGTCCCCCTCTTTGTTTCCTTGTATTTCTTCTGATAATTCCTGGTCATGTATCTGTTCTGCATAATTTCTTCACTAGGTTGTGTGAGTGTAATCTCACAGAGAAAAGCTGTTCAGCTCTGGCTGAAGCTCTCAGCTCAAACTCCTCAGGTCTGAGAAAACTGAATCTCAGTAACAATAAATTGAAGGATTCAGGAGTGGAGCTGCTCTCTGCTGGACTGGGGAATCCACACTGTAAACTCGAGACATTGAGGTTAGTCTATTGATTTTTCCACTGTGGAACACATTCAGAGTTCAGTTAAGCATGCTTAGTAAGGAAAAATATGGAATTCATGCAATCATCATAGCAAGTTACAGTGTGTGAGCAGCTAAGCCTAAGCCTTAACACATCATCACAGATGATTTGAAAGGTCAAACTAGAAGAAAGTGATGTCAACAAAAATATTGATGTCAACACAAATAATGGTTTATATAATTTATCATTAACTTGTTTATTAATTTATTACTTATTTAGGAACAGCTAACATTTTATGTATACTAATAATTACTTATTGATATGACTAACTCTGCAGCAGGTATTAAATATGTGCTCATCTGCTGGCAATAATTTGAGTTAAGTAATTCTATTGGCTTATAAGCGTTGGACGGTGTTTGTATACAAAAATCCACAAACAAATAAAAGCCCAATCTTCAGTATTCTTAAGTGAAAGGCACAATTAATGTAAGTACAATTAATTTTGATTAATTTTGCAATGGATTTAACTCAATAGTGCATGAATATATATGTATGCCAGCTTTTCTCAAACCAGGTCCTGGAGGCCCAATGTCCTGACATTAAAATGTGCAGGGCAGTGGGCCTCCAGGACCCAGTTTGAGAAACTTTGTGCTATGCTATGAATCCTATGTGCAGGGCAATACAGAATCTTAAAGTAACATATAGGCTTATAGGCTACTGGATCTACTAATATCATTAAATTCAAACAAAGTTTTTGCCTGCTTCATTTATATTATTGACTTATTTATTCTTATGTGGAGGTAAATGAAACCAGTCAGGTGAGCCAATGAGTCTGATGTGTCCCACCTAGTCCAACCATAAGAGAGAAGAGAAACATGATGTCTGTATAGATGTAGTTATTCTTATTTTGCCTTCTGTATTTTGTATGTATGTCTGTAGGTGTTTTCTATGTACATTTAGTTGTAAGTTTTTATTCTGAGGCGTTTTTTTTTTCTCTTTGCAGGCTGCAGCGCTGCTGGATTAGAGAAGAAGGTTTTGCTGCTCTGGCTAAAGCTCTGAAATCAAACCCCTCACACCTGAGGGAGTTGGAGCTGAACTACAATTATCCAGGATACTTGGGAGTGAAGGAGCTCGCTGCTCTACTGGAGGATCCACACTGTAAACTGGAAAAACTACAGTGAGTTACTGAGCTACTGGAGTAATAATATAGCAAAAAACTGAATTGATATCCCTGATCAAGACTGTGTAGGTATCTAAGTGCACAATGATTGGTAGCAGTGTAACTATGGCAAGCAAGACAATTTTATGGAATTTTATGGAAGTAGGCAGTTACTTGCTTTAGGCTTTTATTTTCTACCAAAAGCCATTAAATGACATTAAGATTGGGGAGCTGTGTATATACGTTTTTCTTTTTGGCACAAGAAAAAAGCTTTTCATCTCCTGTCTTGTAAAATTATAAAATTTCCATTTGTTAGTTGTTTGTATAGACCTTTATAATAATGAATTTTACTTCAAATGTTTTAAATGTATATTTAAAGACACACATGCAAAAAGGTTCAACTTAAAGAATAAATGTAAAACTTCAAATGCTGGTCCTGCTGTTATCTTTTAGTGTTATTGCCAGTTACAACCCTTTCCAATTCTGAGCCATTTTGTGGTTTCTGGTAAAATTCACAGCTATACCTAACATGGCCATCTTCCATTCTTAAGAAAATTGTACGGAATGAGTTATTCAGTACTACTCAATGTATGCAATACTGAATAATTTATTGGTGCATCTCTATATGTTAGTAACCAGCATTTTATTCTCTTTAATAATATTTATTATTATTATCTGTCAATACATATTTCTTGTTATTATTTCTTAACATTGACAATATTTGTATGAAAGCTAGTATGCATGTAAGTGTTTGAGTATAACAGAAGAATAATTGTACTTTGACATCAGTGAAACAGAACAGGTTTAATTTTATTCAGTAGCTGTATATAAATGAAAGGGTGAAAGTTATACAGAGGATGAAGTTAGATTCCTACTTACTCTATTATGACTAAAACAATTCATTTATAATTTTTTCCATCTCTCACACATATGTATGCTCATAAGCATATTCAAAGGGAAAAACTATACTGTAGTAGCAAAACAAAATAATAGCAGTACATCAAAAATGAAATGACATTAACTACATTCACAAATTAAATATTTTTATTCTTCCTCTCTTTAATAAATACACACAAAGACACAGAGCAAGCATACAACTGCCTAGCAGATGGAATCTGCTGAAATCTGCAAATGTATGCTGGTGTTGTTCACAATCATTTGTGTAGGATGGACAGAAAGGAACTTGTATACTGTGTATTGTTTATGTAGTTGTGTATTCCTCATGTTTTGCCTTGTATGTGTGCTGAGCTGAAAGTATGAGATGTTTTCTCTCTCTAGGCTGTCTGACTGCAATATTACAGAGGAAGGTTCTGTAGTTTTGCTTAAAGCTCTGAAATCAAACCCTTCACATCTGAGAGAGCTGAACCTGAGTGACAATGAAGTAGGAGAATCAGCAGCAAAGGAGCTCTCTGATCTACTAAAAGATCCACACTGTAAAGTAGAGAAACTAGAGTGAGTTACTGTCTCTTTACCTACACACATTTAGCTAAGTATTGCCAGCCTATGTAAAAATCATTTAAAAAAAAACGAGATAATGAAAAGTGTAATTGTGATTATCTGGTTAACTAAATCTTGTGCTGAAAATAAATGAAAAATCTAACATTTAATTGAAGAAAATGTTGCCTAAGAACATAAAATCCTTGACCAAAAAGTTCAGGGGAAAAGTTCTATTTTGAGCTGTAACACAATTCTTAACAATGTGTGTGTATGCATGTTTGCATATGTGTTTTAAATAGATGGCAGTGATTGATATTTCACTATTTTCCCACCAGGCTATGTTACTGTAATCTTACAGGGAAAAACTGCACACCTCTGGCCTCAGCTCTCAGATCAAATGTCTTAAATCTGATTGAGTTGGACCTGAGTAACAATGAACTGCAGGATTCAGGGATAAAACTGCTCTCTGATGCTCTGAAGAATCCACACTGTAAACTGGAGATGCTGGGGTGAGATCATCATTTAACCAAAGATGGTGTGGTGTTTGTGTGTGAGTAGAAGAGATGATGATGATGATGATGATGATGATGATTATAATGATGATTATAATGATGATTATGATGATTATTATTTATTATTTCTCTTTTTCACTTCAGGCTAGAAGTTTGCAGTATTACAGCGGAAGGCTGTGTTGCTCTGGCTAAAGCTTTGAAATCAAACCCCTCCCACCTAAAAGAGTTGAATTTGAACTACAATAAACCAGGAGATTCAGGAGTGAAGGAGCTTTGTTGTCTACTGAAGGATCCACACTGCAGACTGGAAAAACTACAGTGAGTTGCAGACTTAATGACTCTTAGGTTACATTCACACTGTAGGTAAAAGTGGCCAAATCCAATTTGTTGCCCAGAGACTATTGTTCATATGGCTGTCCATGTTATCTTTTTAATGTAGCCTATTTCTGACATTAATCTGCATATGTTCAGAGTCCTCAACACTCCTAAACCAGCCCACAGGAACAATGACCACCTGGCATACTCATTGAACAAACACAGTTGCCCTGTTTGTCAAAAGCAGCCATCAAATGCAGACATCAAAAGCAGCCGATTAAATCACCTTGAGTTGTAATTATGAGAAGCTTCTCCCTTTTTCTCTCTGCAGGCTGGACATTTGTTGTATCACAGAGGAAGGCTGTGTTGCTCTCACTACAGCTTTGAAATCAAACCCTTTATCACACCTGAGAGAACTGAATCTGAACTACAATAAACCAGGAGATTCAGGAGTGAAGGAACTCTTTCATTTTCTGGGGCATCCATATTGCAAACTGCAGAAACTTCTGTGAGTTACTGACTTACCATTTTTTGGCTAAAATCACATTGTAGATCAAGGTGTCCAAAGACATTTTTGTTTGGTTGTTGTCTTCTATGTTTCCTTGCCCTCTTTTATGTGAAATCAAATTTGGCTGATTGAACAATTAGTTTAAACTTAGGTAGATGCCAAAATCCAAAAATGCTTTAAGTAAACCTGATTTTAGATAGCTGGTTGGTTAAAGTGTTCCATTAGACAGCAACATGCATATTTGTTTACATTTTAGTGATTGTCTTGCTCATACTCCAAAACGAAATAACAAAGGGAGTGGTTTCTGTCAATATAAAATTATAATGAAAATTGAGTTGAATTGATGAAAAAGAAATATCAGGCTTGAAAGTTTATTAGCAAACATACAAGCAAGCTAACAGGCCACTAGCAGCAATAATGGCAGAAATTAACAAGGTTGCTTAAACATAATTAAGAGTTTATCATTTTGAACAGCAATACATATCAAAGCATGCAGTAATCATTCAGAACCAAATAGGAAATTATATAGTATTTCAAGTAATACTTTGCATAGTGCATACTTTGCAAGTGTAGTATGTTAGAACAGCATAATTCTGAAACATATTTATATTTCTCATAATAATTATGCTCTTCTGTTATACTACACTTGCAAAGTGTAGATGTCAGTGATTGATTTCACTATTTTACATATTTACATTGCATAACACATTACACATTACATAATGTTCGTAATAATAAAGTGTTATGACCTCTGCCATGTTAAATCATCACAAAATGACAAGTGGGAAACGGCATATATATATACACACACTGTCATGTAAGTTATACATGAGTAAGTAGGGGTAAAATGAACAGATAATTAGTGGTAGCACTTTATTGTATAGTATGATAAGTACAGTATCTCACAAAAGTGAGTACACCCCTCACATTTCTGCAAATATTTTATTATATCTTTTCATGGGACAACACTATAGAAATGAAACTTGGATATAATGTAAAGTAGTTAGTGTACAGCTTGGCTGTGTGTCGAGTGTTTTTCAGAGGACAGTAAATCTATACTGCTATGCAAGCTGTACACTGACTACTTTACATTATATCCAAGTTTCATTTCTATAGTGTTGTCCCATGAAAATATATAATATTTGCAGAAATGTGAGGGGTGTACTCACTTTTGTGAGATACTGTACCTAGTATTTAAAAGGTAAATATGTAGTACTTACATGTAATTTTCTGGTACATACTTTACAAGTGCATATGCAGGATTTACCAGTAATAAATACTTGGTGCGTAATTTGCACATTTAAGATGTAACTTCCACAACTTATGTGAGAAACACGAGGTATATTTCAGCTATTAATGCTGAAAAATTCCATTGTAATGGCAAGTACTTCCAATGGCAGTCCTTCAGGAAGTACATGCTTATGCAATATAGAACAGCAGAATACAGGTACAGGTGACAACACAGTACAGTAATTCATTCCATATTTATTGGTATGTTTACTGGTAAGTTCTGTGTAATATGATGAAAACACAACTGTAAAATAAAATGTAAAATTGTACAAAATATTTACACTGGAAATATTTGTTGCCTTGTGTTTGTGGTATGCACAGTATAACCATACATAGTGTTCATAACCATGCACAATGTTCATAACCATGCATAGTGTTCATAACCTAAATTTGGTAGAATAATATTTAATAGAAGGTCAGCCATTGCACCAATAAGCAGTTCACAAACTGTGTGTAGGTAGCATGTGAGCTGGTACATGGGATCTCAGCAAACAAATGAATTTGTTTAACTGGAGGTAAACCACACCTACTTTCAGTCCAAATCAAAGTTGAAGACAAATTACTTCAAAATTACTTCAAAATTACTTAAAAATGACTTCAATTACTACTAATCCATGTAATATTTTCTAAAGTTTTTCTTTTGTCTGTGTGTTTGTGTGAGGAGCAGTCACCTGAATTATTAAGATTTCTATCCCAGGCTCAATGGCTGTAATCTCACTCAGAAAAGCTGTGCAGCTCTGGCATCAGCACTCAACTCAAACTCCTCAACTCTGAGAGAACTGGACCTGAGTAACAATAAACTGCAGGATTCAGGAGTGGAGCTGCTCTCTACTGGACTGGAGAATCCACAGTGTAAACTGGAGATACTGAGGTGAGATCTCACATGTATGCCACGCATGTGCATGACACACAGACACACATATGTGCATGCATTTTTATTTGTGTTTGTGTGTTTCAGGTACTGATATACATGAAACAAACATAATAATCATCGATACTTCATTTTGTAATAACCCAGTCTAGGGTCAGGCCGTAACAGAAAATGAGAGTGTGCTCTCTCCTCAAACCTGTTGGTTCTGGAACCAGCATTTGCCCAAATAATAAGCAGAGCAATAATTGTTTTTAAATTAAAATTATTGTTTATTTGCTGAATTTAACATATTGAGAAACAAAATTAAACATAAAATGTGGCCTTTGAAAAAGTTATGTCACTTTATTTTTTTGTTTTATTGTATCCATTATGTTAAAGTTACAAAATAAAGAAAAATTGTGCATATACTACTACTACTACTACTACTACTACTACTACTACTAATAATAATAATAATAATAATAATAATAATAACTTTTATAGCACTTTTCTCAAATCCAGAAATGCTTTACAAAAGTAACAAAATATATACTCAACAAAATTTCCTCCCAGGCATCAGCACTTCTGAAATTGGATTTTTGGACAGTTGATGCTAGTGCCTTTCGGGAAGGTGCTATAATGCTCCTAAATCCTAGATCATGTGTAAACACCAAATTTCTAGCTGAACATAAACTTTATGATTACACACAACTACAGTACTAATGCTAATGTACATTCCACATATTTTATTTTATTTGTAGATTATTTTTGTATTATATATTTTGTATTTTTGCATTTTGTTTCTGTATTTTTGTTACCAGAATGTTTGACATCTGCACCAAGAGAAAGTACTTCCACAATCAGTACTTGTGATTGTTACTCTTCTACTTAGTGTGTTTGGTAGACAAAGATGATAATAATGGAACTGGTATATATTGAGTAATTGTAATTGTGTATTACTCTGTGTGTGTATGTGTGTTGAGCTATAAGTGTAAGCAGTGTTTCTTCTCTCTGCAGGTTAGTTAACTGTAATATTACAGAGAAAGGCTGCTATTCTCTGCTTAAAGCTCTGAAATCAAATCCCCCACACCTGAGACAGCTGGATCTGAACCACAATGAAATAGAAGAGTCAGGAATGATGCTGCTCTCTGAACTACTTAAGGACCCACACTGTTACCTGGAGAAACTAATGTGAGTTACTGACTTATAAAAAATCTGGTATACATTGTCTATCTGCTTAAGTGAGTGACAAAAATATACAGTATACTAGGGGTGGGAATCTCTAGGCACCTCACGATTCGATTCAATTATGATTCAGAGGGCTGCGATGCGATTATAAAACATTTTTTTTTTTTGTTCTATACAGGATTTCTATTTTCTTACTGTCTGAGGACTTTTAAAGTAAAAGAGGAGTTTTAAAGTAAAATATTTGTCCATAATGCATTTACTTCCAATGTATTTTGCTGTGCCAGTAAAATATCTTTGAGACTGGACGCTGAATCTCGGCTCCAAAGTCTGCAACATAGCACAAAAGCCCTGGTTCGCAATGACTGAAAACTGGCGTGCCAACTGCAGGTCACTTAGCAACAAAGTTTTGCCTCGCAAGTAGTGAACGAAAAGACAGACAGAGATTTAAGACTTAAGATTTTAAGAACATTTGGAGATGAATGGACTTATTCCCATTCATAAGCAGTGCAGTTGATTTCCTGGTATGTTAAATCTGCAATGAGAGACTGTCAAACACTAAACAGTTGGGAAGATGTTGGCTTCTCTTCCAAATTTTCCCATTCCACCTTAAATGGTGCCACATTTACATTCTGGTGCCTCAGTCAAAATTTAAGGTGGAACGGGAAAATTAGAACAAGAAGCTGGCGAACGAGAAACAACTTTAGCTTTGTAAAACAGTCAGATGTTGAGAGACATTTTACAAGAAACTGTTCTACTTTTGAGGAAACGTTTTCTGTCAGAGGAGGAAAGCAAGCGGCTGTAGTTAAAGCTTAAAGCAGAGCGAAGTAGATCTGCGTTTTCGTTTATATTGTTTAGCCTACACTAGGACATTATCACACACTGACACATACTAGACATCAAATGTTGTGGCTCCCAAGGTGGTTTGATTTTTATTGAAAGGTCAAAATGGCTCTTCTTAGCATTTGGGTTGTGACTCCTGACCTGACCTGGCTTTTAATGCAGAGGCTGGCGGTCGGATTTCTCGCTCATCCAGCAGTGTTTTTGTTATGTGCCACCACAGACTGTCCGGGCACTGCATTTACCCAAGTTCTGCCCTTTGCATTCAGTCAACATTACGTCGATTTTTGACATTTATGAATCGATTCAGAATCATTCACATCCACATCACGATGCATCTAAGAATCAATTTTTTCCCCACACCCCTACAGTATACACACATACTCTTACATGCATTGAATAAACCTCTGTTTTTTAAGAGTTTCATTTCAAAATGCTGTAAATTCATTTGTAACCATTTTGAAAAAAACAAATGTATGAAAAGAAGGAAACAGCTGATATAATGCATTCTGTTACAAAACCCTACAAATGTATTTGTGTTACTAGATTTGCCAATATTATAATATTTAATATTGTGTGCGTGTTGCTCTTTGTTTTCAGTCTTGATGCACCCTTGCCTTCTGCTATGGTTAATAGGGTGGGGGGAGTCATATTATCCATATATCTGCCCATGCATAACCCGTAGCTTACAGACAATATTAGCTAAGTTATGTGGTAAACAGAGTAAGTGAATGGTGTGGAGCAGGAGCAAAGTGGGCAGCAGAGTGCCAGTGTTTGTAACTATAAAATTCTACAAGCATTACTGAGTTAGTCCTGTGTTGTACATGCTGTGAAAATGGTAAGCAGACTGGGGCAGACTGGGCAATTGGTTCAAGCCTACAGATGTGCTGGAAAGTGTTTGTGTAGCATGTACTGATTTTTTATTTAATAAAAAAATGAAATATACAATTCACTTAGTTCTAAGTGTTATGTCTGGACAGCCAAGATATATAAATTACATGTATAATAAGAATGAATAATATAGAGTTTCGAGCAAGCACACTTACATACTTGTGGAAAGAGAGGAACAGTAGCCTTAGCCAAACAATTCCTGTCTGTATATTACATTACATGATCTCTAGTTAAGTTAACTCTCACTGGATCCTGTATTAATATTAGCTGTGTTACCTAACATTATGCCTGAAAAAAGAATAATAATAAAATACTATGTGTTATTATTGTGGTATGTGTTTAAATCAGTAAATCTCTGCATTAGAGAAAAAGACTGTGAATCTCAGGCCTCATCTCTGAAACAACTGAGAGACCTAAATCACTACTACAAAAAAACAGAAGAAATAGGAGTGAAGATGAGCCCTGATCTACTGGAGGATCTGAACTGCAAACTGAAGAAACGGTGAGTTACTGACTATTTATCAGCAAGCATACATGAACGACTCACATACATGATTTTTTTAATCCGTAAATTCTCTCATAGGTTTTGTGTCCCTTCAAACTCAAGAGAGCTAAATTTAAATTTTAAAAAAGTAAGAGACTCTGGAATAAAGCTACTGTCTAGTCACCTGGAGGATCCACATTGCAAAGTGGAGAAGCTACTGTGAGTTACCAACTTACTCCACACTAGCCATTACTAGCCATTTATAATTTTTTTTTTATTTTAAGCTGTTTTTTGCTTGTGGGGAAAACATTATGACATAGATAAGCTTCTCCTTAGTAAATAAGCAAATTTAGGAACTAAACAAGCATTAATTACCAGTTATAATGTATAAGATCTCTGCTTAATGTAAAGTACTGTGCAGAAGTCCTGTAATTATTTAATGGGGCTGCCATTTCTTAAGCATTCTGGAGCATGCATGTGATTCCAGTATAGGTGATATGTCTTTATTTCTCTTTCAGGTTGCGTTGGTGTAGTCTCACTGGGGAAAGCTGTGCAATTCTGGCTTCAGTTCTCAGCATGAACTCTTTATGTCTGAGAGAACTGGACCTGAGTAACAATAAACTGCAGGATTCAGGAGTGCAGCTGCTCTCTGTTGGACTGGAAAATCCACACTGTAAGCTGGCGATACTGAGGTGAGATCATCACTTTCTCACAGATGTGTACTTGACCTAACTAGCTAGCCATGTAAACTTTGCAAGTGTGAACATATATATATATATATATATATATATATATATATATATATATATATATATATATTGGGAATAACTGTTTGGTTTTTCAATATTTTCTGGTTTAAAAATGTGGTATATTGTCTTTTTTTGCATTTTTTGTTGCTTCTAGCTGTGTAGCCTTCAGCTTGCTAAGTTAGCAGAGTAAGGTAACAAAGTTGCATCTACAGTCATGTATAATGGCTGTAATAAAAATAAAATAAAAAAGCCTTGTGAAGTGTTTATATAACTAATAGTTGATTGCACATCATAATCCCTTGCACATATTAGGCATCCATTATTATGCTCTTATTAAGCCTTATCAAGCCAATAGTTGGTAACTAACTTACCAAGCCATTAACTACTAAATAACTGGCTGCTTGTTTTTAAGCATCTTGGTAATAAATAGTAAAAAAATGGTAATAAATAAAGGAGGCCTTCATGGAAAATGATTAATAATGCAGTAATGAACAGATATTTAAGAACTATTGACTGGTTAAGGTGTAATAATCACTTTACAAGGGCATTATAATGCCCCCATGCTGAAATTTTACCCTAATTCTTGCATCTATTCTAACTTTTGTTAACATATTCTTTACTTTAGATAAAACAGTTTACCCTAGAAAATAGTTTTTCAATAAACCTTCTAAACCCTCAGCACATATTTTAACTTAAAGAAGCATTGTGTGAGAATTGTTATGTTTTGCTCTTGGGCTCAACTGTTGACTTAAAAGAATTACAGGAGGTTGCAATATTTCGATGAATATTTGGCATGAGATTGACAAAAAACACTGACCAAACTTTCTGGTGTGAGATGAATTCATTTCTTTGCATGCTAGCCTGAACTGGGACTTAGGTTAAATGACTTTTGGCATCCAGAAACACTACAAAACTCTGTAAAACAGGGATGACACTAACGAAGTTACAGCCTCATTGCAATCTTTCATAATTAACATTTATCAGGGACATACACTCTGCTTTTATATACACTCTGCTGTTGCAAACGAGTAAAAGCCAGTCCAAGATTTACCCTTGTCTGGTCTCCTGCTCAGTCGCTCTCTCTTTTTCTTTTCCTAGCTGCCACTGACAAGATTTCTTTCATTCTTTTGGCCATCTCTGCTATGTCTGTACTGGGAATACCAAGCTACATCTAATAGCTAGCTGAAGAACCATAGGGCTTTGTGTGATGTGGTGCTGTAAAGTGTTAAAGTGTTACACAGTGCAAAAGGTGTTGGTGCCCTCTCATTCACTTTTATAGTGCCATAAGAGGCATTCTGAGCCTGGAGTGGTAGTGACAGAGATGCTATTCTACCTATTAATATGTTTTAAGACAGAATGCCATGAAAAGGATTATGAAGCTGCTTTTATAAGGCAAAGGTGTTACATAATGTTGCTTTAAAACCAAACCTTTAATATTACTAGAAAAGCATGTTACCCCATAGCTATCCACTGATCAGCTTAGACCTTGGTGGGTCATAGTTTTTTTTTTTTTTGTTTGTTTTTTGTTTTTTAATTATAAATCTTACATTTTGATTCCATACATTTGCATATGTTTCTGGAAAAAAGTTTTTTCTAGTTTAATTAATGTGTGCATGTTTGTTTGGGATTTGGCAGTGATCTGTCATCATTTCTCTTCCAGTATGTGTGGTTGTAATCTCACAGAAAAATGCTGTGCAATTCTGGCCTCAGTTCTCAGCTCAGCCTCCTCAATTCTGAGTGAGTTGAACCTGAGTAGCAATAAACTGCAGGATTCAGGAGTGAAGCTGATCTGTGCTGGACTGGAGAATCCACACTGTAAACTGAAGACACTGAGGTGAGATAATTCACTCTCTCACTGTGACGGCACATCACAGATCTTTTCTTTTTAAAGTATACGTGTTATTTCTACTAAAGAAAGTTATAGAAAGTAATGAAGATACATTGTTATGTTTACACAAACACATGAACAACTTCTCACATTCTTTTTGTCTGTGAATATGTTGGTCAGACACACAGCCAAATCCCACTTTTCTCACTCATTCTAATACATTCCTTATTTTTGCCCAGTGAAGCTATTTTTGTTTGTAAAACCTTATTTAGGGTGCTTTAATATATCATTATTCTTGCATATTTGTGTATGAGTCATTATATATGACACGTGAACAGTTTGAATATTCCTTACTTTATTTTGCGTTCTGAATGTATGTTTGTAGAGCTGTATGTGTGAGCATTTTTTCTTTTTTTTTTCTCCTCTCTGCAGGCTGAAATATTGCAGCATTACAGAGGAAGGCTGTGCTGATCTGTTTCATGCTCTGAAATCAAATTCTTCATCGCAACTAAGAGAGCTGAATCTGAGCCTGAATAAACCAGGAGAGTCAGGAGTGAAGCTGCTCTCTGTTCTAGTGGAGAATCCACACTATAAACTGGCAAAACTAGAGTAAGTTTCTTGCTTACTGGTATAAACACACATACAGAAAATCACTAAATTAGCCTTATTTATAGGCAGTCAGATAATTCTGTCCTGTTCTTTGTCTTACAGCATCTGAAAACCACATGCACACTCTAAGGATAATAAGGAGAGGACAACACTGTATAGAACACACAGACAGTATCTGATTCTGCAGGGTAACCTGTTTGGGTCCTTATTGGTCAAATTTGTCAACACAACTGCAGCACAGGTCTTTGTGATCTAACTATGATGTCTCTTGCTGTACACCAGTACCTGCATCTCCAGCAACTTATGAGCTAGTGCAACCCCATGTTCTAGAGAGGTCCCACATTGGTGTGTAGTAGAAAAAATCTAAAATCAATGTAAATGTTGATAGAATTTAATAAACACTAACTCTAGAGGTCTGCACTGTAGCATTGAGGCTGGAAAAGCAATGCAATTCATCACGTGCTGGTCACAGTCTCTAACATAAACATGCACCCAGCAGACCTGAGACTGCATTGTTTTGTCAGTACAAAGAACCTTATGAAGAACAGACAATTGTACTAAACTTTTTAAGTTCTTGTTCTCTAATAGCCATTAGAATATAGGTTTAGTCTAGCAGAAACAGAGTCGATCTCATAATGAGAATACACATCTGGATACAACTTGTTGATTTTGTTAGTGGATGGAAGTAAACAGGCAAATGCACAGACTCCTCTATGGGAGTTTAAGCCCCTGCCCCTTTTGCTTCAGGCTCTAACGGTGCCCTCTTGATTGTACACACTGTTGTTCAGCCAATACATGACGAACAAATGAACAAATGAGGAAGGTGACAAGTAGAGGTTGTAGTAAATACTTAATTATAAATATTTATTAAATATCTTTAGATCAAGCTATTGTATGAACTGTGTCAAGCTGTCATGTAACAGCATGCCAATGCCCAGGAAGGATCTGACCAATGCACTCAAACACCTCCCATCTGAAAGGAGAACCAATATGCCTTGAGGACCATATGTGACAGGGACTGGGTCTAATTTCGGTCACCAACTTCTGAGTTGGAACTTTGGCTCCAGCCTTTCTACTGATCCCATTTTGAATTCAGTCTGATTCTTACTCTGTAGAAGATGAGATTATGCATTTCAACTTCTGGACTTAAAGTGTGCACTGGGTTTACTTCCACAGTCTGTTATGAACATGATTATAAAGCTTTTCTCTGCTTTTCTCACCAATGTTGATTTGTCTGAAATACTGTAGATAAGGTTGTTTCTATTGTATTTCATGTTCCATTGTGTGCTAACTAGTACTACTCTTGGATTTATTCAGATCCTTTAATACTACCGCCCTGTTTGACTTTACCTTTAGGTACGTGTGTTATATTTCTCAGATTATCTTGTTCCTTTGGTGTTTTTCTTTTTCTATATACATCCTGCATTACTCTGGGCTTTTTTACCAATTGCTTTATCATTTTTTGTTATTATTAAAATTATAATTAAAATGTGCATGTTTTACCCACCCTGCGATGGACTGGCGACCTGTCCAGGGTGTATCCTGCCTTCCGCCCAATGACAGCTGGGATAGGCTCCAGCACCGCACCGCGACCCAGAAGGATAAGCGGTTTAGATGATGTATGTATGTATGTATGTTATACCCATGTTACTCTTGTCAAATGAATCCAACAGCTAAGAAAACTACACCCTGTGAAAGATCAAATTTCCTTTAGAAATTATTATTATCTTCTTAGAGTTAACCAGGTCTCAGATTGGCACATTAACTGATTGAATTCAGTGAGTAAGTCTGACTCACTGAGTTATTTCATCATCGGCACAGAATGCAGGAATTCACATGACTCAGAGTTTCAGAGTTTCTCTATGTGCAGTGAGACTTTCTGTTATGTGCTGTGCACTCAGCACAGACTGATAACAGAGGAAACTAAAGTTTTGAGAGAGGAAATACAAAGAGGTAGTTTTTAACATAGCCAGTCAAACACAGATTTTGATCTTAAGACTTATGCTTAAATGTAAATTTACTTTTACAAGACAAACTGAAACAGTGAATTTGATGCCTATGTAAAGTTTGTTTCCGAAACAAACATTTTGAATTTATTATGGAGTTCCGCTATTGAGCCCCGTGGAAAGGGCTGCAAGCACTGTGGGAGAGACTTTAATTTGTAAATGGTTGTGACTGGTTGTTGGCAGTGTTAGTGTCTACTGTGTACTGGAAATGTGAGGCTGTTAGTGATCTGTCTGCTTCATGGCTGTTTCAGCTAGTGCTGGGTAGCAGTGCTTCATTGCTTAAATGAAATTGGTTAAATGAAAGAGCTTGTCTTGAAAAAAAATGGTTCTTGCATCTGCTTCTTTGCTAGATGTCACATCATTGTCATATGGCATCAGAAGTGGGATCATTGTCTAGCTGTTTGGAGGGAAATGGCGACAATATGAACTCAAACACCATCAGTGAGGAAGTAGCCCAGCTGAAGATTGCAGAGGGTGGTGCCACACAGGGAGGAGGGGTGACGAAGACTACTGCAGCAAGATGAGGACTGGGACCAGGGCCCATTGGAGGATAGTGACGAACCATGATGAACCCTGATGGAAGAGGAAGCAGTGAGGAGTCCTGGATGAGGGCTGGCAGGATGATAGCAGCCACGAAGACTTGCCAGCAGAGCAGCGTGGTGACCTGGTAGTGTTAGAAACTGCCGGCAACACAGTGGAGCCAGGTTCATCAGGCATTTCTGGCACTGGGACAGTGGACATTACATTACTGATTCGTTAAGCCATGGACATGCAGAGCATCCTGGGAAAGCACTGTAAGCATGGTAGGAGAGAGTTTATTTTTTTGTGGGAAAAGTTTGGGGAGTTTGGCCCCTTCCTGTTCCAACATGACTGCGCACCAGTGCACAAAGCAAGGTCCATAAAGACATGGATGAGCGAGTTTGGTGTGTAAAAACTTGACTGGCCTGAGTCCTGACCTGAACTCGATAGAACACCTTTGGGATGAAATAGAGCTGAGACTGCGAGCCAGGCCTTCTCGTCCAACGTCAGTGTCTGACCTCACAAATGCGCTTCTGGAAGAATGGTCAAAAATTCCCATAAACACACTCCTAAACCTTGTGGAAAGCCTTCCCAGAAGAGTTGAAGCTGTTATAGCCGCAAAGGGTGGGCCAACATCATATTAAACCCTAAGGATTAAGAATGGGATGTCACTCAAGTTCATATGCGTGTGAAGGCAGACGAGCAAATACTTTTGGCAATATAGTGTAGGTGTGTTTGAGGAGAGAGTTAGCCAAACTGTGCTGGACATTGACCTTCCAGAACCACAATTGTGCACCCCTGGGCTAGAGGAATAGGTAAAACAAACTGTGCATGGGAAAAGGTGGGTTATGGTCTCTGACTGCACACCAGCAAGGTCTATAGGGTTCTTTGGCTTGTAACAATAGAGGAACCCTTTTTTGGTGCTGCATAGAACCGTTTTTAAAAGGGTTCTTTAAAAAAACATGTACAACTAGTTTTCCATCATAGAGAAGAACCACCTGACCATGCAAAACATTTATGCATTCAAATGGTTGAGTGTTCATGGTTCTATATAGAAAAATTGCCTTGAAGCTTGCATTCAGTGTGCAGGGTCAAAACACTGACACTGTTTATGAAAAACTTTGTTGGGACAAGTTATTATAGATCTCAGCTGTGCTATATGCTATATATATATTAGTAGTGAAATGTAGAAAGTTTTAGTCTGTTAGTCAGTGGCTGAGTTGTCTTTTGTCAGAAAAGTTGATGGTCAGTCAGCTGCTGTCCACCCACTTTACCCAAGTGTTTTTGTTTTTGTTAAACAAATAAAATGCACCCCTATGATTTTGGAGGTGTGGCATCACTCCTGGACAGGACCAATGAGAATTTAAAAGCTCATAGCAGACATTTATCATTGGCAGTCACTACTTTGCACATGGTGCTGATGCTTTTACATCTAAAGAAGCTCTGCTCCATTCCCAACACATTTTAATTACTCTTAATTTGTTTATCATAACGGTGGGCCTATTAATAAAATGAAATGTTAAGGCTTATGTAAATTTGTCACCTGATAAATGTTAATTTGGATGTTAATGTAAGATACGGATTTATACTGCAACTTGATTAGGAAAACAACTCATTTGAATATTACATTGTTGATAGTTTTAGAACCACCATTCACAGCTGTTCATTGCAATTGTAAAAGTTAGGATGTGGCACCATCTAGTGTGTAAATAGGGCATTACAGTAAGTATTATGTAAAGGCACCCATGGCTTACATTTACACATGTATTTTTATTACACTTCTATGCATATTTGTTACCAAAAACAACTATTACATGATATTTTTCAAACGGTCATCCTTCAGAATTAAATCAGCTGTGCCTTTAAGTAGATGAGTAAATAATGTCTGGTCTGATTGACTTGTTTTAGCCCTCATTCAAAATGCAGTCAAGGCTGAAACACTCCTTACAAGTTAAATTTGAATAGGTGGTTCTGAACTACAGTAGGTTGAATAAGCAGATATATGAAAATGCACTGGTTTCAAAATTGACTGTTTTTGCTAAATAGTTACCATATATAGACTAAGGAGAGACTAGGATATTTTGAAACTTTAACAATGTTTGGGTACATGTATCCCCAGGAGTACGCCCAATGATGATGGGTCTTGATATTTGCATGTTTAATCTACATTTCTTGAATGCATGAGTGATGAGAGAATGTGATAAGCATGACATGCAGCACAAGGCAAACCTGTTATCCAGTAGTTAGATATATTTCTCTTTATTCGTATAAAAGGCTGTGTTGGAGAATGTGGTGTTTCACTCCAGAACCTGTTGGGTTCAGCAGAAACTAATGACAGTAGAATGAATTGATTCGTTCATTGTATGCAGGTGTGTGTGAATGAAGTTGTTCAGGCACGTTAGTTGTGAACTGGACATTGCCCATTTAGCATTTCTAGGAATTTAATGACCTGGTCAGTTTGCAGCCTCTGGGACGTGTATGGGAATTTCTTTATCTTGTATGTGCAGCCCTGTGTATTTAACGTTTCTTGCTACAGTACATTATACATAAGGAAGGTGTCGGGACATTTCAAGCTTATTTTGACCTGTACAAATACACACCTTTACTTGCAAATAAAAAGAAATCATTGTATGAACTTAATGCCACACATTTCCAGTCAGTCGAAGCTGTTCAGCATATACAAGTTTTGGTTCATTGTTTTAGTGTAATTAACCAACTTATTGTGTTGCAAAAAAATCTGGTTGTAATTGCTTAAAATGATTTTTTTTTTGTAATATTTTTAGGATATTTCATGCCATATTGGTAAAGAAAGATTTATTTTCTAATGATGTAACATTAAACGTGACAATGGAAATGTCACCTACAATGTGTACAAAGATCCACTTCTCTCTCAACATTAACCATTAACAATTGATGGTCTTTAGATGTGCCTTTAATATGGACATTTAATGATATGGATGTTACTATATTTTACACAATCTGCATATATTGAGCATGCAGTGTGTGTGAATTACTTACGTGTGTGTTTCTGTATGAACAGGGCATACATGCTTTTTTTTTAAACGTGATTAATTTCACAATTAATAATATAGGGCTGTTTGGTCCTGTTGTTCACTTACTCTGCATTATTTCTTACATACTCAGTTTTATTGATTCACCAATCATATTTCACTCTGCACGATAACTCATGAAAATAGACCAATCAGATCAGAGTAATTTGAAAAATGCCATTTCACACATCCCGTCAGTCTTCAATGGAAAAGGGGATTTTCCTTCGGCACTGTTTTGGTGGTAGACGCATATTGGAACCAAAGAAGCTGTTATCTTCAGCTCTCTTGAGGTCCTGAACAAACTATGTTCATTTTAAGTAGCAGAAGGAACAGAGACTTCATCTTTCATCCAAAAACAGCAAGCTAACCGCTGCCCGAAAGCTGTGGTAAGTTGCTAAGTCATCATAGTTAACTGCCCAACGTTAGCTAGCTAATGTTAGTGGAAAGCTGTTTTGCCGAAAACGGGTGGAAAACGATTAAAATTTATTTTTCTGAATCTCATTCGAGCCTGTGTCCAGGGTGTTCTCGGTACAGGTAGATAGGTAACTACATTTACAGCTTTCTTTGAGTTTATTATGGATTTTATTTTTTGTCCAAAAACAGCAAGGCAACTGCTGTCCAGAAGCTGTGGTAAGTTAAGCTGCTAAGCTAACTAACGCAATTGATAGTTAGCTAACTGTCTAATGTTAGCTAGCTAATGCTAGCAGAGGAGTGTAAAAATGGGTGGGAAACGATTAAAATGTACTCACTTGAAACAAACTTTTTATCGTCCAGATATATTTATGTTTGATGTAAAAATGGAACTATAATACACTTTTTATTAATGCTAATACTGAGTTTAACTGTTTCTGATCTAAAAAATGTCATTTTTTTGTCATGTTTATTCTTATAAAATTATATTTCTCTGAGGCTCTTTCATGCTTCTGTCCTGGCTGTACTTA